TCATTTTGATATTTTATTTTTCTAATGAAACATAAAAAAAGTAATTATTACAATTTTTTAAATAAAAAAATTTAAAATTATTTTTTTAATTCTTTTCAAGTTTAAAATTGGATAAAGAAAGTATCTAAAAAAGTTTGGGGTTTTAGAAATTAAAAAAAATTAAAAAAAATTGAACTTGATGGGTGAGGATCCTTTTCCTAATTATCTCTTTGGATGCATTGAAACAATTAAAGTCACATAATTCTTTTTAAAGTTGGGTTTTGGTAAGTTTAAAAAATATTTGTTTATACTTGCTTTCAGAAAAATAATTTTATTTTTTAAAATGTTTAGTTCTTAAAAATTTATGTACTTTTGAGAAAGGTAATTTTTTACTAATGAAAGATTTTTTATTTTAAAAATATTAATTTTATTTCAATTGGGATGAAATTATTATTTAAAAATAAATTTACTCTTATATAGAATTTAAGATAAAACATCACTACTCAATAAACATTTATAATTCAAATGACATTAAAGATAGATCATCACTCTGTTAATGTTAGTTGACCGATCCATGAATTTAAAATTTTTTTTAATGTATATTTTTTAATTTTTTAAAAAAATTATTTTATTATTTTATTTATACATTATAAAAATATTATTTACAAATAAACCCACATAACAATAACAATAATAATAATATCAACACACAACTTCATTACTCATATCCAGATTTTAGTTTATTTTATTTTCATTGATTGACAAGGATAAAAAATAAAAATATGATAAAAAAAACTAAAATAATTATTATTCTTTATTTTTTATTGATAAAAAAGGAAAGAATAAAAAAGAGATAAAAAGTAACTAAAAAATTATTATTCTTTAATTTTTTATGATTTATCTGAAGATTAGATTATTGATTTGTATAAAAAAAATGAAAAGTAACTAAATAATTATTCTTTTTAAAAAAAAGTAATTAAAATTTATTATTTTTTATTCTTTAGAGTTTATCACAAGATTAGATTTTTAGTTTGTAAAGAGGGAAAAAAAAGAATAAAAAGTAACTATTTTTTAAAAAAAATTTAAGGTTTGTCACAAAATTAGAGTTTTGATTTGTAAAAAAAGAAAGAATAAAAAGGAATAAAAGTAACTAAAAAGTTATTATTCTTTGATTTTTTTAGGCTTTATCATAAGATTATATTTTTGGTTTGTAAAAAAAAAAATTAAAAGTAATTAAAATATTATTATTATTATTTATTATTTAAACTTTATCAAAATATCATATTTTTGTTTTGTAAAAAAAGAAAGAATAAAAGAAGGAACAGAAGGTAATGATCAATATCATAGTTGTTTAATAATAAGTAATTTAAATGCAATAAACTAGAAGACAAACTTAGATCATTATCTTAAGAATTTCAGTTACAAACGATAAAAATGAATGTAATAAATAAATTAAAATACACACACACACACACACATATATATATATATATATATAATAAATCAAAAGCAATAAGCATATGATTTCTACTACACAAAACATGTTTAGTTTTTAAATAAATCTCAATTCAGTTCATGAGTTCAAATTAAAGAACACGTGTTTAATCCAAATTTCTTGAATGATTGTTGAACACACGTCTTTGATCAATTCGATACAACTCTTCTTAATTCGATCTCATAAGTCTAAATTATACGAATGAACATTTCAAGATCGCACGAGTAATGAATTCAAAATATGTGAATTATCTAAAATTGTATCAATATGATCTGAGATCAAATTAAAATAAGTTTGAATTAAAAATATTTTTTGAGGATATCTATTTTACTGGAAAGATGGACAAGATATCTTGATCATAGTGTCATCTTGATACCATTCGGAACAGTAAAGAAAATTTAAAAGAAGCAAAAAAATAATAATAAATTAGATCTATGTCCAATAGACCATAATTACCAAAAAAAAAAACATATTTTGTTTGGTTAAACCCGTAATTCTATATGAAATAGTAAACAGTATCAATTTAGTAAAACTTTTTCTCTAAGATAGGTTCCAAGAAAGAAAGAAATGATCTAGAACTTAAAGTTATTAATTATATTCTTTCTAGAAATGGAAAATCAATTCCAGGAATTTCTAATACAAGGATTCAATTAGTTTGAACTTGTTTAGTCTTGAATTGGGATCAAGACAAAACAAGTTCTTCTATTGAAAATGACCTTAGCGAGAATCCCTTGACAGCCTGAGCGAGTCCTGTGGCTTGGCGAGAAATAGATTCTCGCTTGAACAAGAATTCACTTATTGCACCCTTAAGAAAGAAGATTCAGCTCGAGAAAAAAGGAGTCCCAAAATTAATGACCTGATTGAAGAAGTGCAAAAAAGTGGAGGTTTGGGAAGCGATGAAGATCATTGGGAACCATTTTCAAACATTTTTCCTGTCTTTTCTTTATTGTAATGTACACTATGGGTGGTTAAACACTATTAGCATTAGTATAAAAAACACTTTCTACAACATGATTCTACATCGGTTCTTTCTGAAACAATGTAAAAAAAGATGCGATAGTAATTTTGAAGTTTATGTTAACTTTTATACATCGGTTATCAATCGTATCTAAATCTAACCGATGTAGAAAAAAATGTGGTGGTATTTTTTAACTTTATGCAAACATTTTTATATTGGTTGTCAAAAACAACCAATGTAGAAAGTCTTGCAGTTTTGCAATTTTTCGCATTTATAGTTGTAAACTTTGAATGGGCATAACTTTTAACACAAGACTTAAATTTATTCAAATTATATGTCTATTTCATATCACTATTTTTTCAAAATTTCAATGTTTTCCCCTTTTTTTTTATTTTTTACTGTTTTTTCAATTTCTTAAAATTCTAAAACTTTTTACATCGTTAAATAAATAACTGATGTTAAAGGTATTTTCTACATCGATTTCAAAAATGACCAAAAAGTATTTTCTACATTGGTTATTTTTTATAACTAATGTAAAATCAATTCAAATTTATTCAAATATGCGCCAGTGAAAGCGCTAGTGAAATAAATTATGAAGCTTCTATTAGCTAAAAACATACATGGACAATGAACACAACAATGATTTTTCAGGTACATCAATGGTTTTATTTTCTTCATTTTCTGTATTTTCTTCATCATTAAACAATTTGATGAACACTACATATTCTTTATGTATAAATTCAAACAAAGATGAACACGACAAAAACGCAATGAACACGAAGAAAACGATGAACACAATGAACATTGACATTTATGGATTTTAATTTAATTTAAACAGTGTTTTAAATCTTTAGAAAAATATTGATAACATGACAAACGCGAACATTAAAATTGTTAGAGAAGAGAAACATTGACACCATTGACGAAGATGAACATAAACTAGAACAACATTTTCTACATTAGTTATTATGAACAATCAACGTAGAAAGCGCACTTTTACATCAGTTATTATGAACAACCAATATAGAAAGTAACACTTTTTACTTCGGTTATTATGAACAAACGAAGATGTGAACTTTCTACATCGCCTGTATCTACATTGGTTGTAAAACTGATGTAAAAAGCTTTTTTTAACTAATGTAAAAAAGCTTTTTTTTTCACTAGTGTAAGATTATATGTAATCTTCATACTTTGAATACCTTGGTATTTTTAATATATTTGTTCATTTCCATAAGTTATGATAATTTCATTATATTAGTAATGTTTGATTCTACCTTAAGAGGAATAATTCATAATTTGGAAATTTAGGGTGAGTTAGAAAACTATCTTGAAACCCTATTTGAATGAAACTCAAGCAATGTGTTGGAACCCTAGGAATATATTTCAATGTGTTGTATGTTAAATAGCTCTTGATTGTAATATTGGAGTTTTTGTTGAATAGATAAGGAATTGTTATTCATAGAAATACTCTTAGAAACATGGGTGCGAGAAATTAACACAAGAGAATATAAAGAGAGTGCATCTATACCTATAAAACATGTTTAATGTATGTAATTGCCAAAGTATGAGGAGAATAATTTAATGAAATCTAATCCCTAATCTAATCATATTAGTTTAATTCACTTTTCATTTGTGTCTTGTATTTACTTTTCATGAACTCAAATAACCAAAAATCAACTAAAAATTACTTGTACATTAGTGAATACTTATAAATTTGTTTTAATTAGGATAATAGAAATTGCATAAGTATCTGACAATCTCTGTGGATGCAACAAGTCGACAACCTTTTATTCATCCATTATATCAAAATTAAGCTTGGTACGCTTGTCAAAATTTTAACATAAAATTATTCATATTTTAAATATACATTCTGCAAAAAAACATGATAAAAGATTTTATTTTTTTTTAACTTTGTTGAAAATGACTTGATGGTTAACATTTGTTCTTGTTAAATAATGAAAAAAAATACATAACAAAGATATATAAGCAATAAAAAATTAATGAATCATGAATGTTATACATCGTACAAAAAAATAAATTAATGTCATATATAATCACTTATAAAGAAAAATATGCTTATATAATTTTATATAAATAGTATAATAATACAAAAATTTAATACATAGTTGTAAAATAAAGTTTAATCATAAATAAAAATTCACATAGATAGCATAATTAATCAAAATTTACATAGAGTCAAGTGAGTGCTTAAGTACCCATTTTTGCACTTATTCTCGTTAAAATTTATAGATATTTTTTTATATTCATATCCATACTCGTTTAGCACGTATATAAATTTTATGAGTACCTATCAAATACTTTACTTTTGTCATTCCTAAGTCAGAGTCTTTCCTTCATCCCTAATTCTCTTATGTGGCTAGTGAATTATTCTTAACTTTGTTCAATTGCAATATTTGAAGTCACTTATTAGGAGCATTCTATATTAACTGTATCATTCGAGTAAAATGCATTATAAATATAATTTTATACTAATAAAATAAAAAAATCAGTTTTATGATGATAATATATAAAATTTGTACGCACTGTGTTTAAATTAAATTCAAATTCTATATATCTAATAATTAACCGTGCGACCCCCCCGCCGAAATTGTTCCATTTCGCGATGGGAAGACCATCATCCACCATCGAAGTCCCTCGTGATCACCCGACTCCTGACTCCGATGACTATCGCCGCCGTCGAAGCCCTAGCTACGACTCATACGACCACCATACCGACCGCCTCCGCCGCCGCCATTCGGAATCGCCGGAACACAGAAACCCTAGACACGCTAACGGAACTCCGAAAGACAACGCTCTGCCAAAGAAATTCGGTCGCCGAAACGGTGCGTATCTGGACTGCGACCGCGGGGTTTGGCGGCGCTCCGATTCCGAGTCCGACGAGGAGTTGAAAGGTTTGAGCTACGAGGAATATAGAAGGCTCAAGAGGCAGAGGATGAGGAAATCGCTGAAGCACTGTATTTGGAACGTTACGCCTAGTCCTCCTAGGCACGAGAACGATGATCTGGAAGATGATAACAAAGCTGATGAAATTTTTTTGGGAGACAATGGCGCTGGGAAGAGCGATAAGGAGGTTAAAGCAAGAGGAAAGTCGGAATCTGAATCTGATTCTGGTTCAGAATCCGAGAAATCTGTTAGTAGTGAATCAGATGATTCGCGTTCAAGGAAGAAGAGAAGAAAGAGTTCTGGTGGTTCTTCGAGGAAATCGTACAGCGATAGCGAATCGGAAGATGAAGAAGATCGTAGTCCAAGAAAGGGTAGGAGTAGTAATAGAAGGAAAAAGAAACGGAACAAGACGAAGAGAAGGTATAGCGATTCAGATGAGAGTGAAGAGAGGGAGAGCGATGGTGACTCTGGTAGTAGTGGAAGAAAGGGGAAGAAACGCTCTTCTTCTTCAAGGTCTCAATCAAAACGTAGCAGAAGGAGCAGAAGAACGAAGAGAAGATCGGAGACGGAAAGTGAGAGTTCGTATTCGGAGGAGGATAATGGTTCTGGTTCAGGTGATGCTATGAGTACAGCAATAGTTGATGAGGTGAAGAAGACGGAGATCAATGCGGAGGCTCTGAAGTTAAAGGAGTTGTTTGAGTCACAGAAAAAACCCGCTTTGGATAATGAACCCTCGGTTGGGCCAATGCCCTTGCCCAGAGCTGAGGGGCACATTAGCTATGGTGGAGCGCTTAGACCCGGTGAAGGTGATGCTATTGCACAGTACGTTCAACAAGGGAAGCGTATTCCGCGTAGAGGTGAAGTGGGTCTTTCTGCGGAGGAGATTCAGAAGTTTGAGAGCCTTGGTTATGTGATGAGTGGTAGTAGGCATCAGAGGATGAATGCCATTCGTATTAGGAAAGAAAACCAGGTTTATAGTGCTGAGGATAAGCGTGCTTTGGCTATGTTTAACTATGAAGAGAAGGCCAAAAGGGAGCATAAGGTTATGGCTGATCTGCAGCGCCTCGTGCAGCGCCACATTGGCCAGGATGTTGGTCCAACTCATGATCCTTTTGCTGCAAAAGCCTCTGACGGTGCTGATGCATGATCCTAATATTGATGTATGTTTAGCTTGTTTTCTTACCTTTTATTTATAGTTGCACTCTGCATTTTTGTTCTGCTGGCTATATTTTTGCTTTTCTATGGGATTTGTTCTGCTGATGCTATATTGTTATTGCTTCCTTGTGTCTTCTTTGTCAATCTCAATCTATGTATCAGGATGAAGCCTTGCATGGCATAAGCCTACATGACCCTGCGGTCTCAAAGTTTGTTCATAAGGCCTAGGTTTAAGGAAGTAAGATAGGATCCTAAGGTTGGTATGATTGACATTCAGAAAATAATTAAGTGGGATTTTAGATATTAGTTATTGAAATTCTTAAGAAGCTATAAATATCAAGGCCATAGATATCACAAAAATAAATCAAGTTTTTGATGTTAGAAGGATGAGTATTAGATAATGCTGGAAGAGTTCAAAAGACATAGCATTTTAGTCTGTGCCTGTGAACTGCAATACTTGTGAAGAGCTACTCAAAATGAGAGAATGGGGAAAAACTGTGAATGTAGGAGAAGACTTGCTTGAAAACTTTAAAAAACTCAAAATACCCATTAATTCAGTTTGAATTCCTATGTTTAGCATGGTCACAACCAATTTCATCATAAAATCTCTTGAGACTGGCCTCATTTTTGTTCACTCTTTCCTTCCAATCTTTGGCTTTCTTCCTTTATGCACAAAGATTATCCATTAAAGATGTCAATACACTTGAATTGATATACTTCTTTACTAGTTTTAATACAAGACTTAGCTTTCATGCCCTATGGACAAATATATGTATTTTTCTACCACTTTTCACTTGACTAAGGTAATTTTAGTAAAGAAAAAGTTAGATGGGAATGCTTCTAAAGAGTCCACCAAATGTGGACTCATTAGTACTATGGTTTCATACTTCCTATAACTTGTCACAGTGAGACAAAGAGGACTATGGTTGGATGATTCTTCATGATTTTGTTTTCCTTATTGTGGTAGAAGAGATATGTGATAGGAGACTAACTGAATATTTTAATGTAATTTGTTTCTAAAGATAATATCCTATAAGTTTTAGAGTAAACCCACAAATAAGTGCCTCAAATAGTAGTAGTCATGCATATTGGTCCCTTGCTTATTTCAATTGTATTGTTAGTCCCTCAAATAGTAAACCGTCATACAGTTAGAGCCCTCGTGTTAACTAATTGATTTTGCATTATTGGCGCTGCTCTCATCTCCGATGCTCCCTCCTCCTCCCAATCATGGTGTTCCTAGCTGCCCTTACCACCTTGTGCTCCCCCTGCTCTACCTCCTATACCACTGTCCTGCTCCAAAGTTCCCACCACCTTTCCCTCCCCTCCTCCTCTCTCCCTGTCTCTCTTTCTCTCTCTCTCTCTCTGAATCAAGACATTGGGATCACTATTGTAACTCTCTTCCCTTCTTCAATGGCAGTTCATGACTGGTTCATGGGTTCATGTCTAAGGAAGGAGACCCCTATGGTTCATAATTGGTTTGTGTTTTGTTTGTTGTGGGGGTGACTGACATTCAATTCGTGGTGGAGGGGTTGAGGAAGATGACGAGAATGAGTTTGGCATGCGATTTGCGAGTTCTTAGCAATTGCGGGTTGAGGAGGATGATGGGATTGTCTTTGGCCTGCAATTTGTGAGCTCTTAGGAGGATGAGGTTCCTATGTTTTGGGTCTTGATGATGGTTTTGGAGGATGGCGGAAAGTGAGAGGAAGTTCTCGGACAAAACTGTGGGTCACCGTAAGTGCTGAGTTACAATGGCATGATTCCAAGAAGAGGGGTAAAGAGAGAGAGTGGTGGTGGGGGATTTGGGAGTGTCAACTGCTGTGAGCAGTGTGGTTTTGAGTAAACGGGTAAAGAGAGAGATAGTTGGTGGGGGCTTTGGGGGTGCCAACTACTGTGAAGGCTGTGGCTTTAAGGAGAGGGGAAGAAAGAGGGAGTGGAGGAGGTTTGAAACAACATCATATTAGCATCTACATGTTACTTACGACAAAAGTTAAGGTTTTTTTGGTGTCTGTTAACATCAAGGATTTAATTGCCTGACAACTTATCATATGAGAAACTAACGGAACAATTTAAATAAGGGACTAACATGCATGACTATCTGAGAGACTAATTTGTGAATTTAGAGACTAATTTGTGAGTTTACTCTAAGTTTTAAGTTACACTTTCCATAAGCAAATCTCTTAGTTGTTTACAGAAATAAAAAAAAAAAAAAAAAAAAAAAGTGACTTTGAACTTTTGATTGCCTTCCATTTGAACTTATAAGCATGCCCAAGCATCCATTTACTCCTTTTTCAAATGTACTGATTGCTGACGTGGCTATACTTATTATTTTATGGGTGTGAACCATCTGTAATGATATGAAGGTTTTTTATGTACTTGTTATCAGATTGTCTTTGTTATCACACTGTTTTGATGTTTTAAAGCTATAAGCCAGTGTCTCCAATGATTATCTCTTCTTAAAGATCCTTTGATGCATCATGTTACTCTGAAAAATTATAAGGCACCAGAGAATGTTTAAATTAAATAATGAACCCAGTCAGATGAATGTATAAGATGAATGTATAGAAATGAAAGATGTTTTTGGGAGAAGTAATGGGAGTATTTAGGAAAGGGTTGATATAATCTTAATTTTTTCATCAATGGTTGTTCCTCACCTTTCTTCCTTATAAGGAATTGGAAAATCAACGAGACACGCTCTAGTGTCTCCTATGTTTTAGGCCAGGTTGGTTTCTATCATGGATAGCCACATTATATTGTTCAGGGAACTCTTGTTGTTCTGCTGCATTAAGTTTAATTGGTTGCTTATAAAAACATCCTCCATTATATTCAGAGGAAGTTGCCATTTTAAGCTTGTAATAAAAATATTTACATAAAAGATTCTTAATATGCTTGATAAGATGATCAAACTATAATATTGTGTTTTACATGCAAGACACTTAGTTTCCTTCTTTTACTGAATTCAGACTATTTGACAAAATTGAACTGCTTTTGCCTTCTTTTCTGTACTAATACTAGTATTGGTTATTGCTGGCACATTTTCTTGGGACACTTGTTCCTTGTGTTGATTATAGAGCTCTGATTTTCATCCCTCATGGTTTTAGTCTCCCAAGTCATACCCATGCGACTGACTGCATGCGAATAATATTTATAGAGAATGACTGTGGTCCTGCAAGAAAAATACGTTTGTCTCTTGACTCTGAGTTTTGATAAGACCTACTATTCAACTTAAAATACGATCATTGATTTTTCATTTTGTAAGATTTTGAAGCTTTTAAGTCCAGCCAGACATGACTTAATTGAGGTTGATCCAGCCCCTTCATAGTTAATGAATACTGCTTTTGGAAGAGCTAGTCATTATTCTGATTGGTCATCGGTGGCTTCTCTTTATTCTTATGGACATTCACTTTTATGATATTTTGTGCTGATGTGTATATAGTATAGATGAATACAAATTGTTAGTCCTTGCTGCTGATTTAAAGAGGTGAACTCCTGCATATAGATGTTGGTATTTTGTATACTTTTGTAGTTGTAAACTTGTAAGGCGTTATTAAGATTATTCAATATACTTGTTGGATTGTCCTGCTGAAATTAAGTTGTCCATTGTCTATGAAAGAGATATATAGTTCAAATAACATGGTGTTATGTTACGCCTTTAATGATCATCTGCCTCATAAGTTTGTCCTCTTTTTCTTGGTGCCTCAAATTATAAATAATACTTAAAAAAGGATGTGTATTAATTTTAAAATTGTAATATATTAATAAAAATGGGTTTAAACAAGAAACGAAACCAGTTTAAGTCTCGAGTTTAAACAAGTTCAAGTTTAGACAAAGCAATTGTGTTAAATACTTGAAGGAAGAGTTTTATTATCTATGATAGTCATACCTGGCTCATTGACTTCAATGGAAGATACATGTGATGCAGACCAAAAACAAGAAAAGAAAACAAAGACCTCATTAGAGATTTGAATTAAGAGTGGTCGGCTTGGTTTGCTGAATTGGTTGTGCTTCACGACGTGCATGTATTATGTTCTCCAATTGACAAATGATGAGCGGGATCCTATGTGTGCCAAGATATAGTGTCCTATGATATGATTGTAACTGAACATTTGTTTGCTTTTCCATTATTAAGATAAATCGTTGAGACACGAGAATTTCTTCTGGCTCAAGAAATGCCATTATTTTTTATTTGTATTTTGTAGTGAACTATATATTATACGGTATATAAGTGGTGTTGAGAGATTTAAAGCAGGGATGTCTACATACGTAAATATAAATGTAGGACAGGATTAGAGGTGTACCACATTTGCCAGGTTATGAAGAAAATGAAGGGGATAAAAATGCACGTTCAAAAGATTTCGACTAAAGAGAAGGAAATAAAACATGAAAACAGTAGGGCCAGTGAACAACTTCAAATCAAACGGTTACAAACAGTGTAGGATGAAAGGCAATGATGGCTTAATAAGGAGTGTTTCAAATCTGAAAAAGAGAAAGAAACAGAAAGAAACTCAAATGACAATCCAAAGAAGATGCTTCGGCCGAAGAACTATCAAGGATGCAACCTTTGGCTGCCTCGTTAAACTATCTATCAACCATTTTATCATCTAATTTCAAATTATTAATAATTCGCTGGAAAACATTACTGTAAACACCCAAAAAGGTCATTAAGTTTCTTACTAGGTAGTGATTAGGCTATATTTGGATGTTTCAATTTAGAGGGGAGGAAAAGGGAGAGAATATTGGGGTTTAACTCTTGTCTGAAAAGTTATTTAATTAGGAGAGAAAGTGTCAAGGAAATTTTTTTAAAATTTTTTGAATGTTAGTTTTTTTTTTAATTTATTTGTTTTGAGGATTTTTTTTTTCTTTCGTTCTTTTGTATTCTTTTACGATTAAGATCTTTTTTTTAAATATTATTTTTTAAAGTGAAATTTTTTTAAAAAATTATAAAAAGTAAAAATATTAATTTTTAGAAATAAAAAAATATTTATTTTTTTATTTTTTTTAAAAATATGAATAAAAGATATAAAAAATAATCATATCATTTATATGATTAAATTTCTGTCATTTTTACTTTTTAATATTAAACATCTATATAGAGTTTAATTTCTTTTTCCGCCCATTTCTAACCCTTTTTTTTATCTTCAAATTTTTTTCTTCTTCTTTACTTTCAAATATCTAAAATAAAATCTTATAGAATTAGTAATGAGATGTGTATATATTTTATGAAAATAAAACATTAGGCATGATATTATTGTATTAATATGTGACTTGCTTTAATGAATTTGAAGGAATTTAAAATTTTAAAAAATGAAGTAATGTTTGTTAATAATTGAAAAAAAAATAGAAATTGTGAAAATGATGAGAAACAAACTAAATATATTTTGTTACTCATTATATCTAACTTTTATTTATTTTGATAAATAACTGAATGGTTGCCTTTTACAACTACTTGGCAAATTGACGATAAAGGATAGTCTTAAGTTCTACAAGTCAATTATAAAAAGAAATAATAATTACATTAGTTGGAACAGTTCCTTTATAACCAATGATTTAAAAGAAGTTGTTAACATTAATTATAAAGGTTATAGATTATTAAATATATTTTATTAAATAGTTTTAATTAATTTAAAAGATAAAGATTAAATATTTTTTACATTTTTAATACAATAAATATTTTTTTTATAATATTTTCAAGAGTGGTGTTGATAAAATCTACCGTTTGTTAACAAAGTACATTTTAATAAGTTCATAATTGTTGTATACACACATTTATTTTAAAGAAAAAATTTAAGGGATCGGGATAAGTGGCAGCCTCCCTCAATTTTTTTTAAATTTACATCGAATTTTCTATATTCTTAAATAATAAATTTGAATATTTATTCTTGAAAGAATTTTTTCAGTTTTCTCTCGAAGTTTCTTACTTTGATAAATGATTTAACATTTAAATTACATATGCTTTAATATTATGTTAAAAATCTCAGCCCCATAAATACAAAAAAAAATTATTATGTTAAAAAAGGCTTAATCTAAATATTTTGAAAAATAAATTATGGAAAGAGAATTGTTGAAGAATATAAAACATTAGTATTAATAATAAAAACTTTTTATATTTGTAAAGTTAAAGTTTTTTGTTTTAATTTATTTTGGTGAATGATTCCTATACTGCTTAAAAGAAGGGGGAAAAAAAAAAAAAGTGCATTTTTGTTTAGAAACATGACCAACAACTTAAAACGCAAACTCAAAATTGAGGAAATTGATTGCTTAAGTGACAAAATTTGTTTAAACTAAAAGACATTCGCTTAAGCACGTCTAAATAAATTTAATTAAACTAAAGCGAAAACGAAACAAAGAGCTCTAAATGAAAAATCTATGTTTCACTTAAGCAAAATCTTATATGCTTAAGCGAAATAAATTTCTCTTAAACTAACTCAGAAAAAATGAAGCAAATATATTTCACTTAAGCAAATAACACAGAAGATGTGATTATTATATAGAAATAAATAGAATGGAAGATAACATATTGAATTCTTTGAAATATAAAGAAATATTTTAGATAAATTGACCTTTCTATTAATCAAAGTACCATCTTATAGGCATAGTTTAAGTGTTCAAAATCATAAAGTACAAGTGTAATCAATTATGTTTGAAATAGAAAACAACAAATGTGATTAATAAAACATAAAAAATAAATAATGTATATAGCATGGTCCAATAGAAAATTTAGGCGCCTGGAGTGATCATATCTAGCATATATTTATAACAAGTCCAATTTATTTAAATAACTAGAAAATGATAAAAATTATAAAAATAAAGCATATGAAAAGTGTTTAGAAATTCAAATAAAACTATAAATGTAAGTATAAAATATGTTATATCAAATTCTCCCACACTTAAGACTTTGTCCTTCATGGATAATTACAAAATCAACCATAGGGAATAAAAAACAAACTAAGCTATGTATAAAGCTAATCATGTTCAAAGTTTAGATGGAAGAATGTGGCCCGAATAACTTGGATATCACGCTTGAATTTGGAAGAGGTTCAGACTCCAAGAGAATTTTCTTTGAGAGGGGAAAGTGATTTGGTGATAAGTGAATGTTTTTTGCGTTGAGGTTCCTTAAATACTCCTCCAAATCTGTGCGCTCTCGCTTGAGCGAGCTCTACTCTCACCTGAGCGAAAGGCATTCTCGCCTATGCTAGCGCCATCTTGCCTGAGCGAGAGGGATTCTCACTTGGGTGAGAATGGGTCTTGAGAGTTTCCTATTTTTCTTGTCACTCCTTGCCTGAGTGAGGTCACTTCTCGCTTGAGCGAGTGATAGATGATGTTGAGTCGCTATCAAAATAATTAAGTTTCTCTAAAAGTTTTGCGTTCTAGAGTTCAAACTAGGTCGATTCATAGAAACACATATTTAGTTAAATTCTACTTTAGGTTCTTTATTAATGCGAATAAAGTTTAGGGGTTTAAAAACTTTAAATCAATTAAATTAAATTACGAACACAATTAACTTCAATAAAAACAGATTAAGAATTATCAATCCACAGAACCTCAAATGCATGTAATTCCAATTATCACAGTATCTAAAGATTTTAATCTGAATTTGAACGATTACCCAATCCAATTATTAATTCAATCAAATAACCTAATTAAACCAGATCACGAATTAAAGCAAATCATCATTTAACTTAATCCAAATTAAATATTAAATCAAAGTATCAATCGAATTCTAATTTGAATTCTAACCATAGAAAAGTTAATTATAATCGCAATATACAAATGTGAGATTAGAGAAAAAAAAGAAGAAGAAACTCAGAGCAATTGGCCCAAAACTCAAATTGAATTTACATCATTTGAATTCTGCAGATTGAATGAGATATTTAGCCTTCTATCGAAGCACTTAACCCAACGAGAATGAGAGGAAGATGAGAGAATTCGAGAAAAGGTAAAAACAAGAATTCTTATTAAAGGCCAAATCTCAAAAACTCAAAATGTCTAATTTGCACACACACCCTAGTTTAAAGCCTCACTAGTTTATTTATAAGTTCTGATTAGTGTAAACTAAATTGCCAAAATTAGGCCCTCTTTTGGAGCTTCGAGCGACCGTACTTGAAGACTGAGAACTCATCTTATTCTAGTTTGGTTTTCTTTATGACTTCGTTTATGATTGTTTTAGTTGTTTCCTTTAGCATAAGTAACTAAGTCTAAAGCTAAGGCTATGAGAACTCTTGTTCATGAAATTATGAAATTTTGATGTTCGAATCTAAATTTGATTTCCGTTCGTGATTAACTTTTATCCTATTGCGCATAATTATACAATCCTAATTAATTATATCGTTAGGCGACCGTACCTTGATTAGTTAATGGATATATAGGATAAAACGAGACAAAGGATTAGGTGGACCAAACCAATCTTTCCCTTCCAATCGTTATTAAATTAACAAGTTCATAGGTGCTTTAAGCTTTCTTAAATTAATATCTTGCATGACTATTGAAAATGTTAGTTTAGATAAAAGAATATTAATATTACATGACCATTGGGTATTAATAATAATTGTATGAATATTTGGTAATCACAATAAAATTAAATTTAGAGTTAAGCAAAAAAATAACATAAAGGATTGAATGAGAAAACTCAAATGCCCTAGGTTCCTCTCCGATAACTTCAACCAAAATGTGCATTGTATTCTAAGTTTATAATTGATTTGATAATTAAATTCTTATTTTTAATTCATCTCATATCCTTTCTCCTTAAACAATTAAATTAGAAAATTCTTAGTAATTGGAAAACAATCCTTGTGGGACAATATTTCAAAAACTTTTTCTAGGACCCTTTATTACTTCTCAACGGGTACACTTATCCTCCGAACAAGTTTTTTGCGTCGTTGCCAGGGATTTCTTTATCAATTTTAAGAAAATCTTGAATTTAATTGATTTGAACAATTTGTGTTTTACTTTATTTTAATTTTGTTTTATTTATTTTCAAAAAAATTATCTTTGTTTATTTTATTTATTTTTGTTTTTATTTTATTTTATTTTTATTTTATTTAGTGTATGCTCACTCATTCTAAGTGCTCTATAGTTTGTTTATTTGATCCAGAGATTGAGAGAACAATGCGTAGACAAAGGAAAGAAGTGAGAGAGCAAAGAATAGCAGAGATAAGAAGATCAATTCAAGATTATATGACACCTACTGCTAAAGGCACTCTTGGAAGCATCGCGGCTCCTAATGTAGAGGCCAACAATTTTGAATTGAAAACAGCACCCATACTATGGTCCATAACTCTATACAGTTTGAGGCATGCCTAACGAAGATCCCAATCTTCATCTGGCAAAGTTTCTCTGATTGATTGATACCATCAAATACAACAGAATCTCTAACGATGTCATTCGACTCTGTCTTTTCCCCTTTTCATATTTGAAAAGGTGAACGCATGGTTTGTCTTACTCCCAACAATTCGATTACAACTTCAGAGGATCTCACTCAACAATTATTGGGAAAATACTTTGCCCCATCAAGGTCCTCTAAGCTTATGGCAAAGATATGTTGTTTCCAATAATATGAAGTACAATTCTTGTTTGAGGCATGGGAGTGATTTCGAGAGCTTTTGAAGAGGTGTCTTCATCATGATTTTTTAACATAGAGACAAGTGCAAATATTTTATAGTGGCCTATCAATCACCACCAGGGCTACAATCGATGCTGCAGCAGGAGGGTATCTCATAAGAAAAGATCCAAATCTTATATATAAGCTAATAGATGAGATGACATCTACTAGCTTTTAGTGGCACACCGTTAACTCTTATGACATTAAGAGAAAAGAGACCGCCCCAATCTATCAAGTAGAGAGCAGCAGCCCACTAATAAACCAAATGACAGCCCTTGCAAAGCAATTAGAATCTTTAATGAAGGCTCAAGACCAACTTGTAAGAGCTCCTACAAGCCTAGAATTTAAGCAAAAAGAGACAAATTTCATAGGTAGTCACAGCTTAGGGTGGTAAGGTAACACTTCTAACTCCTGGGGGAATGGCTTTGGAAGCCAAAATTCAAGTGTTTATTGCTTTCCCTATATGCAAAATCAGGGAGCCCAGTCCATCTTTCAAGAAGAAATGATACAGTATGTGCATTATTCTGATAAGAGGATGACAGAGCTTTAATCCAAGTTGAACCAACATAATGAAAGAACTGATAAGAGGTTTGCAAAAATCAAATCTGAGATACGAGCACAAACTTCTAAGATGAGTGCACCATTGGAGCAAATTACAAATCTTCTGAGTCAAAGAGTGATGGGGACACTACCATCTCAACTCAAACCTAATCCAAGGGAGCAATGCAATGCCATCACCCATAAAAGTAGGAAGAAGGTGCAAGAATTGTAGAACAAAGGCTCATGCAAACATGTGTTTACTGATGAACATGCCCTTGCTGCAATAGAAGCACAATCATGCTTAGACAAGCATGCCTATGTCATTGATAAAAGTACGGCCATGCATTGTAATGCCCAAAATTTTGTAATAGCATTTTGAATATTAATGTAAATTGTGGAGTTCTATATAGATGTAAAATTTATGTATATAATGATGTGAATATATGTGTATATGTGTGGTAACGTGAATATGTAGTAAATATGTATAAATGTGTGTATATATTTGTATATTATGGTCAAAATGTGAGTGTGGACTTGTGACTTGACCGAAATTGATCAAGAAATAGGCTAAATGTGTGTTGTAGGGGCATTCTCACTGTAGAGAGAAGACCCTGGGCAAGAAGCATGATTATGTTGCGTTTTCAGTATAGCAAGAGGCTTCTCACTACAGCGAGAGGGCAACAGAGAGGGGGTGTCTCAAGACCAACCTGTAAGAGCTCTTGTAAGCCCAGAATTTAAGCAAAAAGAGACAAATTTCATAGGTAGTCACAACTTAGGGTGGTAAGGTAACAGTTCTAACTCTTGGGAGAATGGCTTTGGAAGCCAAAATTCAAGTGTTTATCATCTTCCCTATATGCAAAATCAGGGAGCTCAGTCCAACTTTCAAGAACAAATGATACAGTATGTGCATTATTCTAATAAGAGAATGACAGAGCTTGAATCCAAGTTGGACCAACATAATGAAAGAACTGATAAGAGATTTGCTGAAATTAAATATAAGATACGAGCACAAACTTCTAAGATGAGTGCACAGTTGGAGCAAATTACAAACCTTTTGAGTTAAAGAGTGATGGGGACACCACCATTTCAACTCGAACTTAATCCAAGGGAGCAATGCAATGCCATCATAAATAAAAGTAGGAAGAAGGTGCAAGAATTGTATAACAAAGGCTCATGCAAACCTATGCTTACTGATGAACACGTCCTAGCTGCAATAGAAGCACAATTGTGCTTAGACAAGCACGCCTATGTCATTGATAAAAAAGCACATCCATGCATTGTAACGCTCCAAATTTTGTAATAGCATTTTGAATATTAATGTAAATTGTAGAGTTCTATATGGATGTGCAATTTATGTATATAATGATGTGAATATATGTGTATATGTGTGGTGACGTAAATATGTGAGTAAATACGTATAAATGTGTGTATATATTTGTATATTATGGTCAAAATGTGAGTATGGACTTGTGACTTAACCGAAATTGATCGAGAAATAGACTAAATGTGTGTTGTAGGGGCATTCTCACTGTAATGAGAAGGCCCTGGGCAAGAAGTATGATTATGTTGTGTCTCGCTGCTGCGAGAGGGCAACAGAGAGGGGGTATTTTCTGGGTTCAATCTTGCTATAGCGAGATTCTATAGAAAACGAGTTGCAGAATTCTCTGATATTTTCGCTGTAGTAAGAAGGAGCCTCATTGTAGCGAGAGTGTCGCGAATCCTAAGGTATTTGAGAGGTTTAGGGTTTAGGAAACTCATTTTCCACTTCTCCTTTTGAACATTCTTTCGATTCTCTCAATTTTCAACCTTATTTCACCAATTAAATTGCCTCTAAGGCCGTTTGCGTACAAGATTGAAGGTTGGGATCACGTTTGGAGCAGTTGAAAGTAAGTTCTAAGAGCTAGGATTTTGGTTTTTCATCTCTTTCTTCGTTTTCTCAGATTCTCATGGAGATTATTCATGTTTTTAGGATGAAGCACTGTGTGGGGAAGGTTTTCTACTGTTAATTTGTGTTGGGCCTTCAATCCGAGGTAAGGGAGGAATCTATCCTATCTCGTTATACTTAGAATTCGTTTATTGTATTATCTATTGCAATGTGATTAGGATAAATCATAGGATGATGTGAATTTGCTGAGAATGATTTAGTTGTGATTGGATGTTGATGGAAATTTGGTGTGTAACATAACGTGATTGATATCGAGAAATGTGTATGATGGACAGTGGATGTTGGGTGTAATAAGACTTGTTTGCAATAGGATGGTAATGGTATTTGTGTGCTTGAGTATAATATGGTTGATATGTGGGAATATGCTATTGGGTGAGAATGAATGCCATGATACGATTAAAAATATGGGTGAATATGCGTGAATGACATATGATTTTGATTCTGGTTGTGTTTGAATGTTGAAAACTATGAATGGTTACAACGATACACTGAGGGTATGAAATATAGGGCGGTAGAAATACCTTAGGGAAGAGAGGATGGTGGTGATATGAACAGTGAGTGTGGGTGTGCCACAGGTCACACATTCTCCTCCTGACTCGGCCTTTGACTAATACCTTTGCTAAGGGACCCCGTGACCGCACATGTTGCATCTGTGAGGCAAGGGTAACTGGCGACCATCCATAGTGTGAAACTGAGTAAGTCCCTAAGGTTGAAGGCATTAGGAATCTGTGATCACAGTGTCACAGTGAGCATGACTAATGTGCAGTGAGCGCACGTAGGTGTCGTATATGAATTGTTTGATGGTGCAGTGAACACACTTGCATGTGAATTGGAGTGGAATGTTGAAATGTACTATTTTATGCCTATTTGATGCGTGATTTGAATAAAGTTAGAAAGGTGTAATGTGTGAGGTGAGTCTATGTGCTTGTGTGCGATAGTGTAGAGTACTCATTCTTACATTTATTTTTCAGGTGACCAAGACGATCAGCACTAGACTAAGTGAATGGAAAGGATGAAACTACTAAAGGAATTGGGAAATTATTTTTGAAAATTGTGGTGTATTTAAATTAGTCCTGTAGCGTTTATTTTGATGCAAATTTGTAACCCTTCCTTATTTTGAAATACTTTATTGAAAACATGCATTGGGAACCATTTGAATGAAATTTTTGTTATTTCAATTTTATTTCAAAATTATTTATTTGAAAAATTAAATTAAGGTGTTACATGCATCCCCATGAGCAAGATTGTGCTTCAAGTGTAGAATCTAAAAATAGAAGAAAAGAGGATGGAATAGTTGCGTCGAGGCATATATAGCAAAGAGAGAAGAAAGAGAAAATGAGAAGGGAAGGTTGTCTGGTGAAAAATGAATATTTTTTTTGCGCTGAGGTCTCTTAAATACCCCTCCAGGTTCGCGCTCTCTCGCTTAAGCTAGCCCTGCTCTCGCCTGGGCAAGCTCATCCTTGCTTGGGCAAGAACATCAAAGAGCTTCCCATTTTTCCTATGATTTCTCGCCAGAGCGAGGTAGTTCTCACTTGAGTGAGAGGACTGTTGGGTGATGTAACATATTTTATGTTTACATTTATAGTTTTATTTTGATTTCTAAATAATTTTCAAATGCCTTATTTTTAAAGTTTTTATCATTTTCTAGTTATTTGAATAAATTGAGCTTGTTACAAATAAATACTATAATTTCATATTTTCGGTTATTCTGACCTCTAACTACTCTTTTAGCCATAACATTTTCTATGGATATTATTTTTATCTGATTCTAGTTGCATTAGATTCTACACATCCAGAGCTTTAAAATGCATATATGGATCGTTGTTTTTGGAGTTGTTTTCGATTTTCTATGCTTTTTTGAAGTTGAGATAAATTTGCTGAATATTGTTACAGGATTGCATTTGGGCCCTTTGTTATTAGACAATTGTATTTGAGCTTATAGTTATAATTGAGGACTGAATTTTGGCCATTTTGTTTACCCTAATCAGAACTTATAAATAAACTAATAAGGTTTTGAATTAGTGGTGCGATTAAGCACCTTGAGTTTTTGAGATTTGGTCGTTACTAAGAATCATTGTTTTTACCTTTTCTCGAATTCTCTCATTCTCATCTCATTCTTGCTTTGGATAAGTGCTTCAATGGAAGGCTAAACCTCTCATTCAATCTCATAATCTAGATTGTGTAAATTTGATTTGAGTTTTGGGCCAATTGCTCCGAATTTGTTCTCCTTTCTCTAATCTCATATTTGTGTATTATGATTATGATTAACTTTTCTGTAGTTAGAATTCTAATTAGGACTCAATTGATATTCTAATTTGATAATTAATTCAGATTAGGTTAAATGATAATTTGATTTAATTCATGATCTAGTTTAATTAGGTTATTCGATTGAATTAATAATTGGATTGGATAATCGTTCAAATTTGGATTAAAATTTTTAGATACTATGATAATCAAAATTACACGCATTTAAGATTATGTGGATTGATAATTCTTAATCTATTTTTATTCAAGTTAATTGTGTTAGTAATTTAATTTAATTGATTTGAAGTTTTCAAACTCCTAAACTTTACTCACATTTTTTTTAAAAGAACCAAAAATTGAATTTAACTGAATATGTGTTTCTATAAATCAACCTAGGTTGAGTTCTATACCTCAAAATTCTTAGAGAGACTTAATTATTTTGATAACAACTTGGTATCGTCTATCAAATTAGCGTCGTTGCTAGGTACACATCAGTTTTGATTCATTTTAGGATTTATTATTGCTTTTTCACTTATTGCCAATTTTGCATAATTATATTTTTCGCTGATTTGATTCGTAGACTTTTATTTCTGTTTCTGTTTGCGATTTAGTATCCTTTTCATTATGCATTAGTTAATTTGCTTAAATGTGTTCAATTTTAATTTTTGTCATTAATAAGGTTAAATAAAAAACTAATACGTTCTAATTGTTATTAAATTCTGCAAATTATTTCTTTCATCTATTTTGTGTTTGTGTGTTTTTGTCATTCTAAAATTTTGCTATTTTAGTGCATTTAATTTTGAATTTTATATTTTAAATTTTAAAATTTTGGATAATTCGATTAATAGGATTACTGCAAAATTGTGTGATTGGCAGGAATTTCGCATATATTTTGTAGAGATTTGAGGAGTAACAAAATAAGGATTCACGAGATTTGAACTGCAAATTTAAGGGGAGCACTCTTGGAGGCACAAGAGAGGCTGGTGCCACTTTTGGAGCACATTGGAGCCTCTTGAGTGGAGAATTCCACACTTTGCCCATCCCAAAAATCCTCCCTACTACTACTTGAGGGTATTTTTGTCAATTTTCTATGACTAACACTGATTGCTCCCAAATTTTGTCAGCAAATCCAGAAAAATAAGGATCAAGACACACTAATGTGTGGTCTTGCTTAAAATCCAAAATTCCATCATTTAGACTACTTTTCTATTTTTTTTTCAATTTTAATATTTTAAAAATCACCAAAAATTTCTCGAAAATAATAAATAATCATATTAGAGGAACCGTGATAGTCTGGATTTTTTAAAAATTTATTTGATGTGTTTTTGCAATTCCTATCATAGATAGTATTTGGGTTGACTTTGACACTTTGACCGTTTTGCCTTTTGGTGCATCGCTAGAACTAATTCTGGACAATTGTTTGCATTTGATCTTGAAATTGAACATACTTGGAATAGATTGAATAGACTTAACAGATTGGAAGGTAATATGCAAAGTCATAGTGGTCATAGTAGTGATAGACTTGATAATGTTATTGAGCATTCTGATTGTAATGATTCTGAAAGTATATTTATGCATTGTGATATCATGGCTAATAATCAACATAAAAGAACTCTTGAAGAATTGGTTGCACCGGATATCATAATACCAACCATTAGACATCCAATATCCTGATGTAGATGCTCCATTTAAGTTAAAATTTGGTCTAATCTATTTGTTGCCTAAGTTTAATGGTAGTGCAGGTGAAGACCCTCATACGTATTTGAAGGAGTTCCATATAGTCTGCTCGACAATGAAGTCTCAAGGAGTTCCCAAATATCATATCAAGCTGAAGACCTTTCCATTCTCCTTGGATGGTGCAGCAAAAGACTGGCTATACTATATGCAGTCAGGTTTAGTCACTTGCTGGATAGACTTCAAGAAGATTTTCCTTGAAAAATTCTTCCTAGCATCCAGAGCAGCGACAATCAGGAAGGAGATCAACATCATAAAGCAATTCATCCAAGGAGAGCCTATATAAGTATTAAAAGAGATTCAAGAAGATGTGTGCAACTTGTCCATACCACTAGATCAGCGACAAGTTGCTCATCCAATATTTCTATAAAGGCCTTGCTCCAATGGATAGTAGTATGCTTGATGCAACAAGCGGTGGAGCCCTCATGGATAAGACACCCTCTGCAGCAAAAATGCCACTGATTGATAACATGGCAGAGAACTCCCAGGAATTTAACACAAGGGCTATGGCACTAGTAAGAGAAGTGCACAATGTGCATCCACCCAACCAATTGACAGGGGATTCTAGCAGACTTGAGAGCAGAATTGAGGAACTCACTACATTTGTGAGGCAGCTAGCTGTTGCAGAACAAACTGCTCCATAAAGAGGGGTGACTAGAGACTGCTAGATTTGTTCTTCTATAGAGCAAACTTCAAATTGTTGCCCTTTGCTGTAGGATGGTAGTCAACAAGCTTCTGCCCATAGAGTTTTTAGTGCAAGACAAGAGTAAAAAAAGCTTCAAATTTTCAACAACCTCAGAGACAATGGCAGTCATACCAGTTCCAGTATCAGTCTCATAATCCTACTTTCAATGATCATCCAAATATGAGATATGACACTTCTGAGCAATAGATTGGCCAAGCAAGTAACAACCACAAACTACCCCCAATGAGGCAGCAGCAACAACAACAAAATTCTAAACCTTCCTTGGAGGATTTGGTCAAACAAATGGCTAAGAGCAATTTGTAGTTCCAAAAGAATGTTAATGCTTCCATCCAAGATCTACAGACACAAATTGGTCAATTAGTCACCACTGTGAACCAGTTCAAGTCTCAAGGGTGTGGACAACTTCCTTCTCAACCAGAGATTAACCTAAAAAATGTGAGTGTTATCACATTGAGGAGCGGGAAAAAGTTGCGAAATAGTTAGAAAAATAAAAAGGTGCAAACTGAAGTGGAGCCAAAGGCTAAGAAGTAGCAAAACATAAAGACACAAGCTACTCCTAGCAGTTCTAAAATTGTGCAGAAATCACCTCTCTCTTTTCTAAACAAAATGGCCAAGCCAAAAACACTAACAGACTTTGATAAAGAGCTTTTTCAGACGTTCAGAAGAGTAGAAGTGAACAATCTGCTACTGGATGCTATAAAACATATTCTAAAATATGCAAAGTTTCTTAGAAAGTTATGCACCAACAAGAGGAGGCTGAAAGATGACGAGAGGATTAACATGGGGAGAAATGTGTCAGCCCTCATACAACCCAATATGCTACAGAAGTGCAAAGATCTTGACACGTTTACTATCCTTTGTACCATTGGGAACTCCACCTTTAGCAATGCATTTCTTGATCTTGGTGCTTCCATAAATGCCATGCCTACATCAATCTACAAGTCTTTCAACCTCGTTCTCCTAAAGCAAATTGGTGTAGTCATTCAATTGAAAAATAGAAGCACTGCAGTTCCTGCTGGAGTAGTAAAAGATGTGTTAGTCATAGTAGACAGGCTGATATTCCTTGCAGAATTTTACATTCTGGACATGGCAGAAGATTCTAGCATGCCTACATTGATCCTCGGTAGACCTTTTCTGAAAACAGTAAGGACAAAGATTGATGTGCACTCAGGAATTCTATCCATGGAGTTTGGAGACGATGTTGTGCAGCTCAACATCTTTAAGGCTATGAAACATCCCACAGAGCTGTAGAGTGGATGTCAGATAGATGTTATGATTAAGAAATTTTGTAATGATTTTTCTTAGGTTTCTAGTTGTACATGCACTATAACGGATTTGTGTAAGGTTTGTATTGAGATAGATGCGTATTTAACAATTAATGATGTTTCATATGCAGAAGCAGTAAGTTTGGAAAGCTCTAGCTTGATTATTGCAAATACACATACCCCTTAATTTGCCCGCCCAGATACATGCTGCAGAATTGGACTCCTCTACCAGGACATTTCCCTCGATTGTGCAGCCACCTATACTTGAACTAAATCCTTTTCCCAAACACATGAAGTATGTGATTTTAGAGTCTGGTAACAACTGCTAGTAATCATTTCAGCATAATTGGAGACTGGATAAGAGGAGAAGTTATTGCAGACTTCAAAATGCATATATGGATTGTTGGATTAGGAGTCGTTTTCAATTTTTTATGATTTTTTTAAGTTGAGGCAGATTTACTTAATCTTATATGTGGGATTACATTTAGACTCTTGTTATTTAATAATTGTGTTTGGGCTTTTAAATATAATTGAGGTCTGAATTTTGGCCATTAAGTTTACCCGAATCAGAACATATAAATAGACTAATCAGACTCTGAATTAGGGTGTCCGTGCAAATTAGACACTTTGAGTTTTGAGATTTGGCCTTTAATAAGAATATTTGTTTTTACCTTCTCTCGAATTCTCTCATCTTCATCTCATTATCGCTTGGGTTAAGTGCTTTGATGGAAGGCTAAACATTACATTCAATCTGCAAAAAATAATGTAAATTTGATTTGAGTTTTGGGCCAATTGCTCCCAGTTTCTTCTGTTTTTCTCTAATCTCATATTTGTGTATTGCGATTGTAATTAACTTTTCTGCGGTTAAAATTCAAATTAAGATTCGATTGATATTCTAATTTGATATTTAATTCATATTAGGTTAAATGACTATTTAATTTAATTCGTGATCTGGTTCAATTAGGTTATTCGATTGAATTAATAATTGAATTGAGTAATCGTTCAAATTCGGATTAAAATCTTTAGATACTGTGATAATCAGAATTATACGCATTTGAGATTCTGTGGATTGATAATTCTTAATCTATTTTTATTCAAGTTAATTATGTTCATAATTTAATTTAATTGATTTGAAGTTTTCAAACCCCTAAATTTTACTCGCATTATTAAAGAACCTAAAATTGAATTTAATTAAATATGTGTCTCTATAAATTGACTTAGGTTGAGCTTTATACCGTAAAATTTTTAGACAAACTTAGTTATTTTGACAGCGACTTAGTATCATCTATCACTCGCTCAAGCAAAAAGTGACCTCATTCAGGTAAGGCGTCGCAAGAAAAATGGGGAACTCTCTGGACTCATTCTCACCCAGGTGAGAATGCCTCTTGCTCAGGCAATAATGTCTCTCGCTCAGGCGAGATGCCGATCGCTTAGGCGAAAATAGCAAAAATTTGGGTAGATGTCACTGTTTGGTTTTCTTGCGGGTTGATTCACTCAAGCGAGAATGCGTAGATCTAGAGGAGTATTTAAGAAACCTCAGCATAGAAAACATTCATTTCTCACTAAATCACTTTCCCCTCTCAGAGAAAATTTCCTCGAAGTCTGAACCTCTTCCAAATCCAAGCGTGAACGTTCATTTCGTTTTAATTCAATATTAAGGAGATCGAAGTCATTCAGGCCACATTCTTCCATCTAAATGTTGTGTTTCTCTTTTGAGACTCAATAGTAGAATAGTTTAAAACATCTATCTTAGGTAAAAGGAGCTTATTCTAAGTTATCATTATTGCCCACTAAGATAACAAAAGCACTTGTACGTAGAGGTGTGCATCGATTAGATTTATAAATCCAATCTAAATCTATTTTAAATCCAAATTGATGGATTAGATTTTAAACCACTTTATTTTATATTTTTTAAAACCAGTTTAAAATTGGTTTTGAAATTTGAATTTGGTTTAAAATTGGTTTTAAATCCAGATTTGGTTAAAACTGGTTTTAAATTCAGTTTTAGTTAAAAACTGGTTTTATTCTTATACAATATTAATATTTTTGGGAGAAAAAAGATCACTTTGATTATTATCCATCAAATCTTCATTTACCACTACAATTAAAGGTTTTCTCAAACGCAATGTCTCAAATATACTACCTGACCGTGCATAAAATTCAAAATATCTTCATTTATGACTACAAGCACCTTTTGATATACAAAAGCAAATACAAGTTCTGCATTATAAAACTAAATTATAATAATTTGGCAATATAACAAATTCACACCGTAAAGACTTAATATGCACAAAAGGCAACAAATACTCAAAAGCATAAATTCCTCGACATTACACAAAATAATTACAATTATCGCCCTATTTTTTTAAAAAATAAACAGCATCCATAACAAAGAAAATATTTTTTATATAGGACTATATTTTTTATTTATTAATTTACTTTAACAAATAAAAGAAAAAATATAGGGAAATCGTGCTCAGCCTTGAAGCACCAGTGAGCGAAAAAAAATCCACAAGTGCTACAACTATTGTAAGAAAAGGTGGAATAGGAATTAGAAAAGAATAAAGATATTGAGTCATTAGAAGGATCCATGTTACCATGTAGTGGAGGAGTAGAAAATGATATGATATCACCATGGTAGACTTTCATAGCAGCACCATTATTTTTCAACTTCTCCAGTTAAGGTAAGTTCCATTTGTGCTTAACAAAGCTTTACAAAAATCAGAATATTAAGAAAAGAAAAAGGGAAAATAATTGTTTACTTCTACTTAAGTAGGATGAGGGATGGGGAGACTCGGGCTCAAAAAAAAAAAAATCCACAACATAAGAATCATAAGGACCTGGCTATTCATACACGTAAAAGAAAGAGAACATTAGAAACATAAAAATCAATAAGGGAAATAAGTGAATGTTCAGAACTAATAGTTGCATCCAATGGCTCACTATACCTATAACCTGTAAGGCAATCTCCAATTACACAAACAAATAATGCAATTACAAATAATACAATACATGTAATCGAAAACTACAGTTTTTGAAGTAGAGCACACAATTCGGATAGTGTCACATTGTTTCATTTTGAGACCATAAAAGGAGGTGTCTTCAAAGAAACTACTACAACACTACCATTTTAACAACTAAAGAACTAACATTAAGAAAAAAAATCTTTAATCATCATCGAGCGCCATAGAGGCTATAAAAGCAATATCTTGTAGAGAAGCCATTTCTGCCAAAAAAAAAAGTTATATCTAATTAGTAATTATTTATCAACTCGTAATATATTAATAGTAACATGATGAGTGTTTTTACCTTACTGAAATTTCTCAAGCTCTTCAAACTTCTCATTTGAAAATAATGGTAAAGAATATCCCTTAAGCGAGTCTTAGGTTCAAATAAGTGTTTCCACCATTCTAGATTCAGAGGCTATAGTGGACACAAGTATTGCCAACACCTATCTTGCAATGCTTGCAAAGATTGGAAATCAACTTGAGTTTAACTTCCACCATTTCAAGATATCAAAATTTTTTGGGCTCTCTAAAGTTTCTTCCAAGTACTAACTTAACTCAGATTTCTTACTTCTACTTGATCAAAAAAATTGAGTATAGCCACAGCAATCATTACTACTATCCTGAAAAATTCACTATAACCATAACGATCATCATTCAATATTGTTTTCTGCAAATCACCTTGAGATGTTGCTTCCCTACCTTTGAATTCCTCAAAAAAAAAAGACTTCAAACAAGTTTCTAATTTTTCATTCAATATTATTGCCTCACTAACACCAAAATCTTGAGAAATCAACCATTTTATAAACTTTAATTTGTATCTAGGGTCTAACACAATAACAATAAACGACAACATATTTAGATTGTTAGGATTTTCCAGTATTTATCATATTTTTTCTTCATTTTTATAGCCATTTCTTTCATTCTTACATCTTTGAACTAATGACACATTTGGTTGATCTTCTTTCCAATTCCAATTCCAAGAACCTCTAACATATACATGTTACCCACATAAGATGAACTAGAAATATTCAAAGTAGCTTCATAAAAAATCTTCAAATATGGTAATATTGAATGTACATAGTCTCAATTTTCACTTGTAGGAACACCTTTCCCCTTGTTTAACTCTTCAATATAGTTCCTATCTTGCATTTCAAGCTTTTTAAATGTCTTTTAATATTTCAAAGCGCCTTCTAACATAAAAAAAAAAAAAAAGTTGAATTCCACTTAGTTTCAACATCTAAGCAAACAATACCTTTGTATTCAATTTCTCGTTCAATACATGCCTTAAATTAGGTGGCCTCTAAGATATCTAGTTCACAAGAAAACTATGAGTTGGTGGATGAGAGTATTAATATTTTAATTTGTCAAATCACACATATACAAACACAAACTAATGACTAGAAGAAGGATGATGCCCTTGTTGTGGTCATTAACAATGGTACACAACTCAAGAGATTCAAATAACGATAAAGCATAAAGAGAAATAGGTATAAAAAATTGAAAAGTTGGGTTAAGCTACTAGTAAATCAAACAAAAAAAATCAATTTAAGATTAATCAACATCTTAGGTACTTTTAAAAATGACTTTTAATAGCAATAAATAAATTATTTCACTTTCTTATTATAACCATATATATATTTTTGTGTGAATATGTTAAGAATATCAATCAATACATTTTGATCAATTTGAAATGCATTATTTTGCACCTTCATGTTATGATCCCTTCACACATTAGTAAATCAATTTAATTTCACAAAATTGTTAACAGTAAAACTATTCAACTTAACATTACATCATTTTAATTTCTTTGTTTTTCTTTCTATTCAATTTCACTAGTTTATGTTATTATCCTGTAGGAACACCTTGATGATAGACATGATTCAATCTTTGATCAAAATTGATTGCATAAATGTTAAAGCTTGTTTTGTTTCTTTATTAAATTTATATTTATCAAATCATTTTACATGTAAAATATATATTCAAACATTGTGTGGTCAAATGTATTTGATCCAATGTTACATATCTTTTAATGTATAATAATCACAATTTTTGCATTATTTATTTATGTGAATCTTTATTTGCTTTATTTTCCTTGAGTTAGCTTAAACAAAAATTATTTTAAGAGAGATAAATTTGTTTTAACGAAACACAAGTTTTCCATCTATAATTCTTTATTTCATTTTTGCTTAAACTTAATAAAATGTGCTTAGACATGCTTAAATAAATATTTTTTTAGCTTAACCGATATATAATTTTATTATAATATTTTTTAATAAAATATTTATTTATTACGTATAAAAATAAATGTATTAATTATTATAAACATTTTTAAATTATTTTTATGATATATAATATTTTAAATAGAACATACAGCGAAATCATAAAAAATAGGAATAATATCATTTCGATGTATGGCCTATAAAAATTATAATGGAACATACGTCGATCAATATAAATAAAGACAAAAGTCAATAGGAGAGGGAGAGGGAGAGAGAGAGAGAGGAGAGAGGCAGACAGAGAGATGGCAGGGAGTTATTGGTACAATGAAGTGGTTCCATTCACAGCTATGATTGCAATAGAGTGCACAAACGTTGGTGTTAACGTTTTATTCAAAGCAGCAACTGAAAAGGGGCTCAGTTACTATGCCTTCATCTTTTACTCCTTTGCAATCTCAACCCTCTTTCTCCTCCTGCCTCTGCCCTTCGTCTTCCGATGGTTCTCTATTGCATATTAAATATACACATCCATCGTTACCTCGTACAATTCGAAGCAATTCTTCTGTGAGAATCAACGTTGTCCCTTTTTTAATCATACGTTTGTTGTGTATTTGTGCAGGTCAAGAGGGCTTCCTCCGTGGAATATGTCTCTGATCATCAGATTTTTCCTCCTTGGAGTTATTGGGTAAGACAAAACAGTGCATAACTCTAATTTTGAACATTTCAATGTTTATTCTCAAGAAAAAAGGACACTGATCTTAGTTTTTGTTATTGCATCATCGTTGGAGTGAGGCAGACTTGCAGCTCAGCTTTGTGGATACAGAGGACTCAAATACACTTCGCCTACTCTTGCTTCTGCTCTTAGCAACCTTATCCCGGCTTTTACCTTCATCTTAGCGATCCTTTTCAGGTTCATATCTCTCGTCCTTCAACATTTAATACTAAAATATTTTGCTTCAACCAAACAGTATTTTAATTTATTACTTTCTTACTATTCTTATTATTAGATGAAAAGTTGAAATTGAATTTAAGAGTTTTTAAATGTAAAAAATTCTTCCCTTTATATATATATATAGCACCACCGCAGGTCAAATTCAACACAATTAACGTAAAATTTAATAGGATAACAATTTTTAATAAAATTATGAATTCAATTAAAAGTAGTAATAGTGTAATTTTATTCTTTTATATTATTATTTAATTATAAATTATTATACGATGGATAATTATTGAGTTTTGTAATAGTTATTTTTAAATTATATGCATGATATTTTTAATTAATCGATAATTTATATTGATAATATATTAAAATTAAAGTCTAACATTATTTTTATTGTTTATTAATTATATCTAATAAAAATAAACTCATATAAGAATTATTCAATCAAGTATGATTTATATTTTCTGATACAGGAAAGCATACAAAATAAGCAGCAGTGTAGATTCAAAACAAAAAGTAGTGATTAAACTTATAATTATATATATCTATATCTATATATATATGAAGAATGATTTTTTTTAAAAAAATTTTATACTCAATTTGAGTCTTTTATTTAACGATTAATAAAATAATAAATTATAATTTATTAAATATAAATTAAATAAAAAATTTAGATTAAATATGAAAATTTTTAAACTTTCTCTAGTGTGAAAAAATCTTGTTTACTGAGAAGAATAAAAAACTTTAAATCACATCTAAGCTTCTAACCCGAATAATCGATACTAATATAATAATCGAATATCAGATAGAGTAAAAAAAACTTGAACATATAAAAAAGCTCCTAATCTTACCTAATACATTAAATGGCAAAGAAAGTGGATAAATAATACAGATTAGTTTGGGAAGCGAGACTAAACAAAAGAAGCATTATTGATCGCAATCACCTTAAGCCCCACTAACAAAGATGATACAATATATAAAGGCCGATTCACCAATATCGAAACAAAGGTCCACCTAATACTGTCAGTGGGAATACGGTATATTATTCTTTGAAGTATTATAAATTTAAGATGAAATTAAATGTTATTTTTTTAGAATTATTTCGTTTGACAATTTTCAAAAAATAAAATTATTAATTTAATTGTTGAATAGTGTGATTCAATATATTGTTAAGTATATTAAGTCATGTGACGTTCTTAAATTTATTTTTTTTTACTTCAATATATTTAATAGCTTAGTTAAAAATAATGAAAAGAAATAAAATTTTTCTTTATATTCTATATTTGTAATACATAAATGGAAAAAAAATTAATTTTTTTTTTATAAATAACTCTGTTCATAAATTAATTGAAGTAGTAAAATAAGAAAAATAAATCATAACTGAATAATTATATTATATTAACATCAATTATGTACAGACAGTATAATAATTTACAAACATTTGATCAAAAGTTCATAACTCATATCTAACATACTGAGGGCTTAACACTAATTATTATCATGTCATCTCTCTATCTTAACTAGCTCTTTGGAGTCTAAATCATCATTTTTTTCAAGATAGAGATCGTCAAAGTCAGTCGCAACCTCAACACATGTAATCTGCTTAAAAGTGATTGAAGCTGGTCTTCTAAGATGATCATAGTTAAAATAGGAGCACAGATAGCTCACAGCAGCTAGAGTTCTAATTGTTCCTCTATAAATATACATATAAAGAGAGTATGATAGATCCTATCATTTATAAAAAAAATCTAAAGGAATACTATAATATAGGTCCATCTTTAAGGTACATATATGGCTAGGTACATTGTCACAATCTATGGCAAACTTAAAGTGACAAAGCCTATGATACTCATTAAATATATAATTTATTCTACAGTTTTCTTTACTATCTATCAATCTAATTTGCCTTGGGGGTGCCGTCATCTTTATTCCCTAAAAAGTTTAGTAAGGATGAGCATCTATCTTTCTATTTAAACATAACATTATTTCAAAAACTACATCACAACATAATCATAGTAATGGAATAAAAGAAAACATAATAATATCAATTCCAATTACAATATATCAATACCTATAAGCTAATTTCATAGTGTATCAATTACTATCGCATAATCACATATGCATATATTTCGTCATAAATTATTACATTTCTCTCTTTCAAATATGCACTCCCAGTGCACTGTGATCATAAATATACATTCCTTAAGCATTTCTTGAGGTCTTACACAGTTAGGTAAATAGTTATCAGTTAGCCCATGTATATAGATACAACATATATAATAACAGGTTTCTTAGCAAAAGTATAATCATGAATCAGGAAACGGGTGTGAGGTTATGTGACGCATTCGCTCTTAGAAAGAGAGTGCACACATATGTAAATGTCGCTCATCACCCTATATTTTTCTCAGATTTTTCATTGTTTTAAGACTCTATACCATCAGTGTATCTTTAAACTATTCACACTATCTATATCCATCAACACTTATTACTCATATTATATTCTCTTTTTCATGTCAAAATCATTACTCAGTTAAAAGATCGTGCTTAGTAAAGCACTTTCAAACTAAGTTCAAAATACGTATACAATCAGAATATAGCACTAACACCCAAGATCAGTCAAACATGCTTCATTAACCTTTCAACACAATTCAATATCATTCAATCATGTATTTACATAAAATAACACATACAAAAGTACTCTCATGAGTACAAAATATTTACTATGCTTAAAATGACAAAATAGAGCTCTCCTTACCTTGAAAGAAGAGTTATGAAGAAAACATAATAATATTTATTTGAAAGAAGAGTTATGAAGAGTTATGAAGTCGATTGGTTGAACTTCTAAATTCAGATTCGAAGGAAGATTGAAGTTTAGGAAAATTTTCTAAGGAATGAGTGTGAGAGATCAGAGAGAATAAAGGAGAGGTTATGACTTAGATTATAATCAATGTTTTCTAATTTGAAAATCCTTAAATACCCCTCAACTCACGATATTTTCGCTACAGCGAGCCCTTCTCTCGCTACAGTAAAAAAATTAGACATTTTTTTATGTCTATCATTCTAGCTACAGCGAGAGCTCATCGCTTTAGCGAGAATCCCTCGCTACAGTAAAAATCCTGGCTACAGCGAAAATGCTAATTAGTCATCCTTATCTACTTCTCGCTACAATGAGAGAACTCTAGAAAGCATAATTCTTGACGCTCTTTCTCGATACAACAAGAGATATTTCACTGTATTGAGATATTCTGCAGTTTACACCATTTGAACTCTTTTAAGTTAAAACAATTTCACTCATATAACAAACATACAATACCATAACAATAAATATAAAAATAAGGATTTATAAATATAAAATTTTATTGTTAATATTTATTTATATTTTAACAATATATATTAAACATTAAAATAAAGTTATCAATTAAATTATTATTTAATTTTTCATTTGTTTTTTTATACTTACTTTATTCAAAAATATTTTTTATTTTAATAATTTATTGAAAAAATTTAACATTTATAAAGCTTTAATAAGTAGAATATGGTTTATTTGTGATCCATTGATAGAGATCTCTATAGTGTTTTAAGCTCTGAAGTATTGCTTAACAATAGTATTAGAGTTTAGGGTTTGTTCAAATGATCATATCATAACAAAATTTTAGTCAAAAATGAGAAGAAACAAAAGAAAATGAACAAAGTAATTCCTATTAATTAAAAGGAAATAATATAATAAATTTAAGAAAACTAAAATGGAAGTTGTTAGTAAAGTGAAGAAACATGAGACTTTAAATAAAAAGAAGATATGATGGACTAAAGTAAGTTATTCATTAAAGTTTCACATAAAAAAACTTGAAGAAGGAAGATGTAGAAATATATTATAAATAAGAGAAGTTTTTTACTCGACACAATAATATGTAGTTTGGGTGTATTGGAGTCTTAGGTTATTGTGTGTAAGATAAGGGTTTGCAATTTTGTCTATTTAAAAATTAAAAAAGTGAACAAGTTTGTAATTTTAATTAGTTAAAAAATTGATAAAAATATGCTAAAAGTTTATGGGTGTGTGCAAGAATACCACATGTCAAGCTGACCATAATATATGAAAGGTCACCTGAAACCTTCGTCAACCTCCAAAGACTAGTCCACCCACCAATTGTTTAAGGCACCTTCAATACTTCCATATTGACCAGTATTCCTCTCCAAAATTTTATTACCAAACATAATTTATTAGTCGGATGTGATATTCAAATCTTCTCATAGAGTCGTGTTCCATAGATGGATATGATTCCGATAATTGAACTTTCTTTATATGTTTCATCAGACAAGTCATCGACTCAGACCTTGCAAGTTGGATTTGATGGGTGGTTTAGGAACGATCATGGGGTTGTTGTTTTGCTGTCGTGAGCGGTGCTTAGGTCATGTGGGACAATGGCCTAATGGTGAGAGAAAGAAAGAAATTTCAAAACTTACATATTTGACGGCACGTATTAATTAGACCATTAAGAATAAGTTATGCACTTTTATCATGTCATCAGTCATGTGTAATATATATTATAAATAAATAAATAATTTTAACTCAAAATTATTTTTTTAATAATTAATGTGAAGGTTTTTTTATTTATTTTACAATTTTAAATATATATATCTATGATATTTCTTTTTATATAAATAAAAAGTGTTGAAATAAACATAAAAAGAAAAAAGAAAAAAAAAAGGATACATAGTTATAAATTGATGAATAAATTATCGAAGGATTACAAAACATTCAAGACGAATTGCATTACCCACACAAACAATATCATGACAGACTACATTTGATCGTAAATAGAGCTAGCAAACCGAGCTACCTGACCCATTTGGGTCAGTCTGTTGCGGGTAGCAAGTTTTTGTGTGTCGGATAAAAAAATTTTAAATTTAATATAATTTCGCACAAATTATTTCAAGACAAGTAAAACTTAATTTTTTTGTGAATTTCTATAAGCTTAGTTTGTATTGGACTTGATTGGACATGTTAAAACTATCTAAATTTAAAGCATATATCTTATATTTTATCAAACCTTTTTAAATTGTTTCAATAGGCCTATTTTGTTGACTCTAATCATGAATGGAATATAGATTTATCATTCATTTCCATACATTTTTTCGGGCTAAAGTAGGTATTATATATTATTTATTTTTATGTGTGCTTTAAAAAAATATGAATATTTGGCAGACTTATATTTACATATTGTGTACAATGAATTTTTTCAAAAAATAAATAAATTCAGAAGTAGTCCAAGATTGAATTATAGATCACTTTAATGGTTCTTACTAGTATATTTTTAATAAAATTAATAATAGTTAACAGTGACATTTAAATGAAATAATATAGTAGAAGGATAATATCAACCGTAAACAAGTATAAAAGCAAATAAAGAAAGAAATATTAAAAAAAATTCTAATGAAATAAATTTCAATAAAAAGACAGTACAACTTCAATTGAGACAGAATGCTTGTTAATTAATTTCATCAAGTCTAACTTGTGCGTCAAACGTTTAACAATTTTCAAGATACAAAGTGGTTGAAGGCGCTTGACAGTCTCTCTAGTATTTCAACGCTCAAGTTAGAAGAGTTATTCCAAGTTATAGTTGAATTAGATAGAGAAAATATCAATCTCAAGAGAATCACTTCTTTATATATGAGTTTGAGTCCTTCGTTACTTAGTGCACCTATCATGGATTGTTAGACGTGGGTGTGTGTTAGTGTTATTATGTGATGACACACAAAGTGTTTCATAAAGTTGCTACGTGTCAAAAATGTTAGAACATGTTTGTGGGGTCGTACTATGTAATAGTTCTTTTGTCTTAGATCTAACAAGGGAGATGAGTTAGGTGATTGTGATTGGAGACGGTGTTGTACCATTCATAGAGGTTGTCATTCCATGTGGAGGATACCAAAGCCTTAGTCGTTAAAATAAAATTCAAATTTAACCTGGTTGCTTGGTGAGTGAGTTTATTATTGACAATTTTTTGCATATATAAAAATTCAAACTCAAAACTTTGCTTAAGTGATATTAAGTTGCTTGCTACTCGGACCAACCTACATTAGTCTTAAAGGACATATTTTTGCCATATCTTAATGTATATTCGCTAATTACCACTTTTAACATATTAAACTTTTATTAATATTTAAATTTTTTTATCATCTCTAAAGTCTTTACAATTAGGTTTTCTGCTATCAGGAATAACTTGAATGAATTCCTTAATAAAAAATTCTTCAGCGTATTCTTGATTACAATTGTTAATAATGGTAATGTATTTTGGAGAAACCTCAAAAAAAAAACTTTTTTAATAAATTTAATAATCTATTTCAATACTTTTCAACTTGAGAGAGCTATCTATACTAATTTGCACAAAATCTTGTTAAAATATCACATTCTTTTCAACTAAAAAAACTCATGTTTTCTTGTCATAATTATTAAAAAAAAAATTGTCAAAATGTTACTTTTTTTATTGAAATCTTATTATGACCATGTTATGCAAAATTATGGTGACATATAGCCACAAAATTCATTAGTTCCATATAAGATATTTTGAGAAGAAATAAACTTTCAACTCATATAAACTATTTTTTAATTAAAAATTAGTCCAAAATAAACCTTAACCAATGTGTAAAAAGATTATTTCAAGCAATTTATATTTCTTTTCCTTTTCTTTGTCCTCTTTTCGAGCAACATAAAGCCTTTATAATCAACTTAAAAAATTTTATTTTTCTCAAACAAATATATATTAATTTTAAATATTTTTATCAATTAGAAATTTATATATTTGTATATGAATTTATTATTCGTAATTTAGTTAACTTATATTTAATTTTTATTATGAACTTATTTGATAAATTAATAAAATATAAATATTATAATATTATAGTAAGAAATTAATGAGAAAAATATTGATTACAAGTAAAGTATGTAATTTAAATAAAATATTAAAAATGATATTTTTTTTAATCATAAAAATATTGCAAATAGTTTTTAAATTTAATTTAAATAGTATTTAAAATTTAATTTATAAATATAATATATTATACGGATTAGTATCCACATAATATAATATATAATTATCTATTATTGAACTTAAATTTAATTAATGAAAAGAATATCATACTCTTTATAATTAATTTTTATAAGTATTTGTTGGGTTTGAATCTGATTATTTTCCTAAGTAGACTACTACTAATATGATATCCGTAGTGAAGAATAAGTAATGCGTACTACTACTATGTGGAAATAAAATTAACTGTTAACATATGAAAATTATTCTTTAAAGTTTTGTGTATTTTTCAATAAACTAAGAACTGATTAATTAAAAAAATTCAGCATGATTCAACTCATATATTAATACAATTTCTTAGTATTTTTCTTACAATTCTTTTTGTCTGTTGCAAGATGTCAACTCCAGTAACATAAAATTTTACATTAACCAAGCAATTTGCGTCAAAGTCAATAAATATTTACAGAAGACTAACGTGTACCCCACACAGATACAAAACCCTATCTTACTCCACTTAACCAACATTTTGAAGTTTTCCTATCTAATCTAATTCTTTGATATTTTATAAAAGGAGTGCAAAAGAAATTACGTAAGATAAATAATTTTGCTAAAAATTTCCTTATTATATTCTTCTTTGTTCCCTTGATTTATTTAAATTTATAAAAAGTATCATCTTATTTTCATCTTTATTACTATTTTGTTTGTTCATTATGCTGAACTATTTTCTTGGCTTTTGCATGAAGGATGGAGAAGGTAGCTTTGAGAAGCTCAAGCACTCGTGCCAAAATCTTGGGTTCTATGGTATCGATATCAGGTGCACTGGTAGTTGTTCTCTATAAGGGCCCCACAATCTTATCCAATTCATCTCCACAACCATCACCTACCGTTGATTTTCCAATGGGCTCAACATCACAATCAAATTGGGTTCTTGGTGGGTCCCTACTCCTCATTGAGTATCTTTTGCTTCCAATCTGGTACATTGTTCAGGTATTAAACTCGCTTTAAAACTCTTCCAACAAGCACCTAATAACCTGTTTGGTTTAGAAAATCATTCTATTTTTAACTTTGAAATAATTATAAAAATGTTATTCTATTTTCATTTTTTTCAAAAAAATTAAAAACAGTGAAAATAATTTAAATCTTTTCTACTTAGATTTTTAAAATAAAAATAAATTAATATTTATATAAGAGTTTTGTTACTCCGAATCTTAAACAATATTGATTACTTTGCATTTCTTCTTTTGTAATTATTTAGTCACACAACGTTTCGGAAAACTAAAATACAATATTTGGTGCTTGGAAACAGACCAGTGTGATGAAAAAATACCCAGCAGAGTTTATCGCGGTGTTCATGTACAACCTGAGCGGGACTCTCATATCTGCACCAGTTTGCTTACTATTAGAATCAAATTTGAGCACTTGGAAGATAAATCCTGATATAACCTTGATCACTGTTATATACTCGGTGAGAATCTAACAATGCAAATTGATAAACGAGTCATAGAAAGGAAATATAAGCTGAAATTTACCACTACTTGATGCAGGGTTTCTTTTGCACAGGTCTAAGTTGTTTGGTTCACACTTGGGGCCTCCATCTTAAAGGCCCAGTATATGTATCAATCTTTAAGCCTCTGTCAATAGTCATTGCTGCCGCTATGAGTTTTATATTTCTTGGCGAAGCACTGCATTTTGGAACGTATGGAGTTCATTCCCTTTCTTCGTTGTTGAGTTTTAATTCAAGAAAATTGCAATTATTTAAGAACACTTGAATATTTGATTCATTTTTGTCATGCGTTTTGACATTTACATATATTTTGTTTCAAATGTTGCAGTGTTGTTGGAGCACTCATACTATCATGTGGGTTTTATGCTGTTATCTGGGGAAAGGCAAAAGAAGAAGAATTGAGTGAGGAGTTAGACATACGTCCCAGGACCAGCGGTGATAGTCCTTTGTTGAAGAACTTCAGCGAGAACGCGTAAAAATGATTCTTCATAAATACTCAAATTATGATAAAAAATAAGGTTAACTAGTTGACCTTATTTTTTTTCATCATGTACTTGTGATCCGTAGCATTGCTCTGCTTTGTGGAATCCAATAAAATCTCATTGTGAATTAATATATTGTTAAGGGTCTCGATATCTTCGTAGTTGCTGTAGTATTTAATACCCGTTTGACTCACCTCAGATGTTAGGCGAGGTAGCCAATTTTATTTGTCCAGTCAGAAAATACGTAAATTAACAAAATGGAGAAAAAAGAAATATGTACATTTTCAAGGATCATCCGCATGGATACAGGTACGATACCGTTACCGGATATAGATGCGGGACATGGTATTTTTTTAAAAAAAAATAGAATACAAATACATCGATTAAAAAAATAAATATATATATAAATAAAGTATACAAATTTTAATATAACAGAAATATATATTTATCTATGTAGATAATAAATATTTTACGATACGATATTGTAATACTTAAATTGTTCAATATAATATAACAATAATAAAACATAATTAAGAAAATTTTATTATTTTTTTTCTTATCATTAATAAAAATAACTGTCTTTAAATTTAACCCATCGAAAGAAAGATTAACAACTTCAAGAATTTCAACACCTTCAAGTGAATCTCATTCATCTTCATCAATATCACATATAATTCTTACTTTTTCTTAAGAAAAGACAAAGATTTGTGTGTACAAATACTAAATTTTTAACTCTTTTAATATTTAACCTTATTTCTTTTCAAAAAGTGGATAAAAAAATATGTGCTCCAATTTCTTCCACAACAACAAGAAGAACATGGTTGTGAAAGAAACTTGAAGACAATATACTAAAGTTTGAAAATTGTAGTTCCCTACATAATTCATCATTTCTTTGATTTCAAGTTTCACTTATCTTGCAAAGAATAAAATTAACCAAACTCTTCAAAAGCACTTGAAAATTTAACAAACTCAGTGGTTGCCTCTAATCTTTCCTTTGAATCCGGAAAGTAACTTCTTAAGCACTTATTTCTCCCTTTGCAAACATCATTATCCTTATGCGGTGGAACTCGATTTGGATTTTCCTTAAGCCATTGTCTATAATAATACCTATTACGCAAATTATACAGCATATAAATAAGACAATTGAAACTTGAAAGAAAAAGTAAATAAAATAAAAGGAGTAATTTATTAAATTTTACTTAGGATTGAGTGAATGAGTCAAACAATGAAGAGGTGTGTAGCTTTTAGTCCATTTATCAATTAAGATATTATAAACCACATCATAGGAGGATGAATGTTGATTCAACTCTTTGTCCTCTTGTTGATATATTGCTAATTTCACTTGCTTAATCATAGAATCTCATTTCTCATAAACTAAGTGAAGACTTAGCTTATCAGTATCACAAAAATGAAGCATGTCATAAATTTTCTTGGTATCCTTTTTTTTTGTTTGAAAAATTTTCTTAGTATGTACCCGGGTGTACCATACCCAATATTGGTACTCCAACAATTTAGGCGTACCCATACTTCAGAGATCATCCGCTACATATGTGTAGCGTTTTCTACTAGTCATCACCCTTGACAATCAGTTGAAACTCCCACCCAAGCCTCACTATAACCATGATCCAATCTACTTTGAGATCTCAATTGTCTCTCTTTTTATTACAACCATCATTTATGATTATTCACTCACTAGAACCATAATTGATTTCTAGATTCACTCCAAAGAAAATATATAAAATAATTATACACAAAGAAAAAATCACTTAAAAAGGTTAAATTCTTGTTGAACCATTGTTTCAGGACTAATAGTCATATGCGGCATAAGTTTGTAAACTTACAAAGTACATGAGAAATGGAAACTCTGACTCTTGATTTATAAGGGTGAACCAGGTGAATGTAACTAATGCTTTTACAAGGGAATGAGTCAAATTGTGTCCCCTTACAATTCCTTCTTTTTTTCCTTTATAAACCCCATCTTCTTTTATTGTACGATGAAAATTAATTGTGACAAGAATTCACGCCACTTCTTTTTCTTAATCATTAACCATTTATGGGCACTATTCCTCCTTGTGGGTCAACTTTCGCATGTCCATTTTTGGGTCTCCAACTACCAAGTGATAGGTCAAAGCAACATGTATCAACTAACAAAGGAGGATTTTCACTAATCTTACTTCTTTGTGGACTTTGCTCCGGTGTCTATTAACAAGACAAAGCATCATATCTTAACTTATGCATGCAAGTTAAAGACTTGCCTTGCTATGTTATCCAATTTCTAGAATCTTCCAACGTTCATGATGTTTTATCCAAAGTTACGTGAAGCTATTTTCTTAACATAGGTTGGACACCCTTTTATTGTACCGAACTCCTAGATTTAGTGGGAGTGATGAATCATGAAAAGTAAAAATTAAAGAAACACTTATGGAAACTCCTACACCTAGTGTCTCTTCTCAAAATGTTATCTTTCTTGTTGTATCACAATTACACAACATGGTAAGATAATAAATTATGTTCTAAACAAACAAGAACAACATATAGATGATGAGTCAATTAACAATGTATAAGTTGCAAATGAGTCAATGATAGATGAATCACGAGAAATGACATTAAGGAGGTTTGTAATGTAGAAAAGACTTGCTATTTCAGATGATTATGTGTTTCACTCACTTGAGTATGAATGTGACTTGAGATGAGAATCCAATTTTATTTAAGCAAGTCATTGAATGTAACAATTTAAACAAGTTGTTAAATGTCATGAAAGAAGAGTTAAAATCATTGAATTACAACAAAGTGTGGGAGCTAGTCGAGTTACCTAAAGATTCAAAATGAGTCAATTGTAAATGAATTTTTAAGACCAAATGAGACCTAAAAGGCAATGTTGAAAAGTATAAAGCTAAACTTGTTAAATGGTACGCTAAAAAAAATGGCATTGATTATAAAGAAATATTCTCTCCAGTTTTAAAAATGACTCTTTAAGAATTGTTATAATTTGATGACTCATTATGAATTGACCTATTTTTACATAAAACACTCTTATAGTTGCTCATTTCAATAAAAGGGATCATATTCTAATAGGACCTAGGTATAGTGCCATATGTTTTTGCTGCATTTTCTCTATTTAATTGTTCAACAATTTTATGGTAAATTAGAAAATAAAATATTATTAACTAATATTGATGATTTACTTTTAGTTAAAATTATTTGGTGTGTTTTAGTATTACCTAAGATAGGTATATAGTCAAAGGTAGAGAGTTGTTAGATTTATGGTTTCTTACTAGATATGATTAGGTATTTGAATGTGTAAAATTCTTGCCAACGATGTTAACCGAAAGAAAAAGACTTATTGGTAAATGTGTAAAGGCGCAACATAAGTATCCATAGGAAGCTAGCTATTAACACCCTTTCCTCCTCTTAAAGTTTACTTCCTTTGATTTTAAATGAAAAATGACCTGAATTAGAATCTTAGATTATAAATATAATAGAAGAAAATTTTAAGAGTGGAAATGCATGTTGATAAAAAAAATAAAAAAAAAAGGATATAATGCGATGCTCTAACCTCTAAGCTAAGCAGGCTCACATAAAAAAAATTGCACATAGAAATTTAATAAACTGTTGAAATCTTAATTATAAATTATTAGTTATTCATAACATAATTAAATTAGTACAAACAGAGAAAAAAATATGGAATATCCAATTTTTTTATTTATTTGATATTTTAGTACATACCCAAAAAAAATAACAATTAGAAGATAAGGATGAATAGTTAATATTCATATTCATAATATATATATATATATATATATATATATATATATTTAGATAATATATTTTTATCAATAAAAAAATATCTTTATCCTTAATTTTTATAAATTTTTTTATTCTAAAATTATATACTATATTCGAATTAGAAAGAAAAGATTCTAATTTTTAAAAATTTATAATAATAAATAATTAAATTATAGTAAATAGTTTTCTATTACTTTCAATATTCTTATACATTAAGATTAAATATGTATAATATATAGATTTATATATTACAATTCTAAAATATTAGATTATTTAAAAAAATTAAGATTATCAAAGTCAATTTGATTAAGTAATTCCAAAGTGATGACTCAAAATTATTAAACGTATCTAGATGATCCATTTTAAAAAATACTATTTGATTTAGTTACTATCTATTCATACCTACAGAATGTGTTAAATCACCGAGATTACCCACCACTGATTTCTCATATGATTTGATTGTATTTGCACCTATTGAATATGTTATTGTTTTCTATATTTGCTTAAATTTCCCTGTTACTGTAGGAAATAGATTGTTTCATGCTAATCTTGCTTGCTTATTTATGGTTGATTGGTTATGAGAGAAAAGATGTCATATTGAATTGTATGATAAAACATGTCATACTGGGGATGTTACAGAATTTTCCCAAATGCTTTTGAAAAGCTTAATATGAATGAGTTGCTACAAGAGACAGAGAAGTTGCTTTGACTATAGTTGCTGTGTCTTGTAGTCACATCTGTGCATGTTCGTGCACCAACTTGCAGATACGTTGCTCCCTAAAGTCTTTTTTGGGGAGAAAGGAGACTATTCTCGTTTGAGTTTCATTATTTGAACATAAAGAAATTGAGACTGTTGTGCAAATATAAATAGCGTACTAACCAGGCATATCGCAAACCTAAGGTGTACTGCAGAGCATACAAAAAGGAATTGCGGAGTGTTAGGGAAACAACAAAACCATGCTTTTGATCCTTAAACTCGTATTTACTTTGCTATTCTTTGTTTACAAATTGGTTTTCTGCGGTTTTGTATAATGTTACGAATTATGAACAGTTTTGTTTGTCTTTTATACACTTCCATACATTTTCTTTTCAGCTTTATAGCTTTGTAAGAGAGGAACATGAACATTCTCTGTAGTTGGTGATTCCTGGCCGGTAACATCTTCATCCACCTCTTCTTTTGCTTTACCCCACATTACAGTGTAAAATCCAATCGATATTATTGTGGCTCCTACTAGACTGCAAAATGATCAATGCAACAAACTAAATGATTAAATTGCAGAGTTTCTTCTGTGTTCCAATGATGTATCAATCTACGGATGAACTGATAATAAAGATCAGCAAAAATGATTTGAAGAGCAAAGATGATAAATCATTAAAAGGATATGATGATTTATGATTATTATTATTTCCATTTGGAATGTAAAGATTTTAGGAAAATCAAAGATGATAAAGCAATTGGGAACACCGACAAATATGAATAACTATTTGTTTGGTCAGCTGCATTTGTTCATGAACATGTCTAGTCCAGTTTAAAGGAAAAGACAATCTGAGAATTGAGTATGATCATAACCATACCTTCCTAGGTGGAGAGTATCACCGAGGAACATGACTCCCAGGGCAACTGCTATTGCAATTGAGAGTGGCTTGAACATTGCTACATAGACTGGCCCCTTAATGCGTAGTACCCATGTGTGAACTGCATTGTTCACGAATGACCCAAAAATTCCCTAAAAAAATCAATTGCGTATCACAAGGTTACTTTAGAATAATAAGCATGTAGTCTAGAGTAGTTCTTGTGTGCATCTTACAGAGCAAACTATGGAAGCCAATGCTGCATCTGGTCTTATTTTCCAAGCATTTGCATTTGTCTCAGTAAATATACCTACAATTGCAGCCATCATGCTTACACATAAGTTGTAAAAGAAGACCACAGTTAGTTCATCGGGGTACACCTTCATGATTTGCACCTGTAGAATTAACAAGTTTGGAATTAAAAAATGTTTTGAGAATTAGCTTGTTGAAACTTTCTATAGCATCCAAAAACTTTGTACCTGTACAATGTACCATAATGGAACCAGTATATACTCTGCTGTTAGTAGAAGGCCACCAATGGCCCAATTTCGATCCACCGAATTGAGAGTGTGCGTTGGTTGATGAACAGACAAGGAAGGTGTATGAGCAATGATTATTGGTGGCCCCATGTACAACGTCACTACAAATGCTCCTGTTATTGATATTATGGTACCCAAGACCTTGGCTTGGCTACTTACATTTCTTACAACCACCTTTTCCATCCTAAAATGGATCTAAAAAAAATAAGACTAGATAATAGAATAATACAGTGAAGAGAAAACTTATAACTAGTCTAAACTCAATTTCATTTCAGGTGTGTTATTTTCACAACAAAAAATTGACAGTATATAACATGGTATTTGATTATTTTTATGTTTTCATTATATACACATTCAAAAATGCATCTCAAATATAAACATGACACTCAAAAGGTATATCTACAAATCGTACAAAAAAGCATTTCATTGCAATTGTATATGTAAAATTATCGACAAAGAATGTTGTAAAAATTCTGTAGTGCTTGTTAATCCTGATAGAAAAAGTAAAATCATGAAAAGGAAAAAGCGAGACACAAAATAACCAAGTGAAAGTTAGGGAAGCTAATAGGTCATGTTTATTTGAAAAGATTTACGAGTGGGTAAAATTGAAACAAGATGTTATGAATTTGGTTCTTTAGAAAAGTACAATTCAACCGGTAAATTAAATTGGCTATTTTATGAGCAAAATCAAAGGAAAAATCAACCTGAAATAGTACTTACAAAGATAAAATAAACGCAATTGTTCACTTTTTCTCTTTTATGAAATAATTGTCCACTTTAAGCCATATACCCACGAAAATAAATTCATTTGGGTCATACTCAACAGTTGTATGTAAGAGTTTTGATATATCCTCCTACTCTAATAACTTTCTTTACATATTTTTTAAAATAGTTATTAATATATATATATATATATATATAAAAACTTAAAACAGAATATATTTAACACTTTCTTCGAAGATTAATAGCAGAAGGAAGAAAAATTAAAATTAAAGATATATAGATATCACTTTTGATTCGTTGCGTCGAAATGCATGAAAGGGGAGGAACCTGAAAATGATGGCAAGCAAAAAAGTAAAAGCTGGCACCAGGTTGCTTATCGCCGAGGAGAGAGTGGGGGAACTGAAATTGATGCCCGTGTACCCCATAATCTGAGATGAGCATCTACAGTTCAGACCAAACAAAGTCATTAACAATAAAAGAAATAAAAAAAAAATTATTTACAACGCAGAAAATGCAATTATAAAACCCATATCTTGTTTTTCCTTGGATTAAAAGTACAACAAAAATGGGGTCTAAATCAATCCCTGAAATTCAAACCAAGTACCCAATTAGCCCAAGAAGACCAATTTTTCGTAGTATGGGGAAACTGAGTGGAGGAAGCACCCTTGATCTGCACATGGACACAGAAAAGAAAAACATTTAAAAGCCAATCAATTGTCAATTTTAGCAGCCTCAATGAGATATTCTTTCTTATTTTTTTTGTTAACTCAACCTTTTGGAGATAAAAGGTGCAGGAAGGAGAACAATAGCAGCAACAGCATAAGCATAAACAACAAAGACATGGTAGCTCATGCCTCTCAAGGTGGCTGCTTTGAACAGAGTATTCAAAGCAACGTTGACACATTCCATGGTCACCATGGCCCCAAAAGGAAGCAAATCCTTGCAGCAAACCCTTTTTGCCATCCCTCTCTATTTCTCACAGACCACATGCACCTCAGGCAAGAGTGAAGTTCACTGAGGTTTAGGCAACTGAACCTGATCACTACGCGCACTAAGGACCAAACAGCGTCTGAGTCGGAACTTTGTGCCAGTGGAGTGTGGCATGATAATGCACATTTTGTCGCATCTCTTAAAGATTATGGAAATTGAGATCGTTTTGTTTTGTTATTGGTGCTAGAATTATGCGTGACGTAGAACGCAAGGAGAGTAATATAATAGAATAATTGTTGCTACTACCATGCGCTTAACAATTATTATTCGAAAGGGAAATATAATATTATAGGAGAATAGGGAAATTTGATGTGAAACGAATCTTTGGTGCAATAATTAAGTTCTTACGATTTGCGGGTGGTTTTCACTTGACGTGAGATGAGTTATTGAATGTGTGACTCTGGTCGTCATAGGATTTTCCTTTTATCTTCTCAGTCAGATTCGGATGCGTATTTGGCGCATTTAATAATTATGAGCCGTTGGATGAACATCAGACAGCCATATTATACTGAATGTAATGAAATAAATGTCAATTTAAAAAAATAATATATTCATGATCAAAGTTTGAAATTATGAGACGTAGTTTTAGAAAAATAAATATTTCTTACCTAGTTTGAATTATGCACTAACAACATTTCAACTAAAATAAGAAGTCTGTTGCTTCAAATTAGGAAACTCTAAATAACAATTCGTGCGACATATGGAAAACTGATAAATAATCACAGGCAACAAGAATTCTATGTAACAGTTTCGTATGAAATTTGGAGAACTGATGCTGCAATTGTTCCTACAAATTTAGAAATTAGAAAACAAATGTTTTTTTGCATGCGAATTTTTCTGCAAATTCAAATTAACAGAAAAAACTCATTATTTCCTACCACTTTTCAGGTAAAAGAATTTGCAGGAAAAAGTGGCAGAAAAACCTGTAAGAATGTTTTCAAGTTTTTTGCGGGATTTCTTGTTTAAAAATAGGTAAAAGAAGTCATAGAAAAATATGCAGGAAACGATAATTTATTATTTTTTGTGAATATTTTTTCAAAAAAATTGTAAAAAATTTCTTGCAGATTTTGTTGTTGTTGGAAAACACACACAGGAAGTTGTAGAAAAATCTGCAGAAGCGTATAGATTTTCCTGCATACTTTCTTGTAGAGAAATTGCTAAGAAAAGAAAGTCTTAAAAAATCTACAGGAAACGAGAACTTATTAATAACATTTCATTTAGTATTTTTAAATTTTTTTCAACTAAAATTTTATCACTTTTATTTAAATTTTTTCCGTACATCATGTAACCCTCCCAATTTTGTTTATTTAAATACTTTTATCTTTCTGAAAAATTTTATGCATGTATATGACTAATATTTAAGTGAAATTAGATTTTTAATTTAAAATTTGAATTAAATTAACTTAAATTGACATATATGTGTGTGTGTGTATTATTTACTCTAAATTTCGGTTTTATAGTCTTAAATAAGTGAAATTAAAAATTAAAAAAAATTATTAGAAAATTTCCATGAAATTATGATAAAGTTAACTTAAAAAATTCAATGGTTAAGTAAATGACCCATAAAATCGTTGTTGTTTCTCTTGCAGTTCATTTATAGTCCAATTTAAATGTGGAAGAAGGATCAATTATTTTGAAAAGCATGTGATATGCCTCGTTGCATCCTATTATATACATAATTATTAATATGCAATTTTACTGCTTAGATTTTGAAGTATCAAATTTTGGTAAAATTATTATATTTTAATTTCTCTTAATTTTTTTAAAATTTTATTTTTTAAGAATATGTTTAAAATTACCCAAAAATAATAAAAATTGATTTATCAAAATTTTCTCTGTCAATCATAAATTCTGTTATTTACTAAAATTCAAAAAGTGGGAAGGTCTTATTTAAGTTAATTATAATTATTTATTTAAAATTTTAGTATTATATTTATTAAATTATTTTTATTCGTTTTTATATGAATTCTCCATTTTACTTTATCTTTTAAATGTTTTACTCTCTGCTAAAATTTTACGGTTATATTGTTTATTTTTTTATTTTTTTTTACTAATTAAATACATATACATACATATATATATATATATATATATATATATATGATTGTTGTGAAAAATTTTATACACTTTTAACATTTAAAAAAATAATACTTAACAAAATTTTTAGAAAAAGATATACTTAAAAAATAAAAAGATATCTTTATAATTTTAGCAAAATCCAGAGATCAAACTATAAATTTCAAAATTACGAAAAACTGAATTATAATAAATTTAAAAGAAATATTATTTAGTTCAAATATTATTTTATTAGTAATATAGATTTATTTCATGATTTTTAAAATTTTATTTAACAAATTGTGAATTTTTAAAGATTGAAATACAGAGAAAAGCTTTAAAGATTCTATCATGATGATCATGATTTGTGATAATCGAAAAAGTATAAAATATAAAAATGATTCTAATAAAAGATCAAGTTTAACTAACTTATCTCATAGGCCATAAGTAAAATGCTCAACTATCTTAACATACACTAGTGTATAATAGAATTGGTTGTAAAGTGTGTATTGTTAGAAATGATCACACAGATTGATAATATGATCGTGCATTGTGAATATGTGATCGTGAAAGGATCAATATATCAAATAACACTGTCTAAATTTTAGATATGAAACTCTCAATCATTCAACCATAAAACAGTAAAGTACTTTTGAACAATTAATCACTTCATGAAAAAAAAATACATAAAAATTATTATGTTATTATGATTAAATTAGAAGTAATTATTGTTATTACATATGAATTGAATATACTCGCCATTTTTTATTTTTAATGATTTTATGGTATAAATTTATAAGAACATATAATTAATGGACTAAACTAAACTTTGAAAAAAACCTTGAGGAAGACATTAAGTGGATGGGAGCCACTTGTCATGGATGATAAATTGTATAGCATATGAATTTTTAGGTATGTATCTTTTATTTCTTTTCTTACTTTTGTTAGAAAAAGGAAAAACTTTTGAATTGTAACATTACTATTTAGTATCTTCTTAAAAAAAATTGAAGCTCCTTTTTGAATTAAAGTCTTCATAAATTTAATTGATCAAATTATTTTAATCTTTATTCCCCTCAAAACACACTTATCAAAAGATGAAGTTTTATTTAAAATAAATAATTTTAGTTTCATATTACATGTTTTTTATGCATTTTTTTATGCCTATACTTTTAATTATTTATATGGCTTAATTATATTTTTTTTTATCCCTATAAATATAATACATTTATGAAGAATTCTTGTAAAATTATTTGTTAGGATTTAGTCCCTAAAATGTTAAGAAGTTAGAATTTAGTTTTTGTTATCAACTCCTTTCTGTTAAATGTTGAGCTAATTGACAAAGAATCAGCTTAACACTCTCACATGACATGTCACGTATAACATCCAAAATTTCACTATTTCTAAATTAATTACTAATTATATGAATTTAAATAAATTATAATGATATTATATATGAAAAGTTAGAAACTAAAATATATTTAGCAAAATTTACTCAAAAAAGAAGTAAATTAAAAAAAAAATAGGTAATGTAATTATAGAGTAACTCAATTTTAATTTTAATAGAGATTAATTATTCAAAAAATTTCTAAATAATTTTAGACCATTTAAAATACGGATTACAAAAATTATAATCAATTAGGAGGAAACAAAAATAGAAAATTAAATATAAGTTGTAAAATTGGCCAAAAAAAATAAAATACCCCTAGAATGATGACCCAAATTGGACAAGAAAATGAAATGAAAAATTATAAAAATTTTATGGCAAATTATTGGGTCAAATGATGTTATAGTTGTTCACGAATCATGTTCAAAACTTAAAATAGAAAATTTAAACCAAATTTTCCAAATTTAAAACTCAAAGTGGTGTGAAAGAATTAGGCAAATGGGGCAAAACTTTCAATTTTATGATCCTATCTTAACCAATCCAATTGGCACAGTTTTGACATGAAAAGGGGACCCAATTTGTCAATAATTGGGCAAGAGATCAGCTGAAGTGAAGCAAATCAATAAGAAAGAAAGCTTGATTTACTAAAACTCATTGAAAATAACCTTGAGTCAATCATTCAATCCCTAACTAACTAAATGCTAATCAAACCAAATCAAACTCAGCCAAAGAATAGTGTTATGTGAGGAAAAAAATCTGAAGTGAGTAACCTAGAATTAAAGACAAATCAAATAAGTACACTTAGGCAAACTAGGTGACATCATAAAGGTCCAATTTTTCACTTTAAGCATGATTATTGGAAACCATTTTCCACCATGATAAAATCTGAATTTGGAGAAGGCTTCAACAAAAAAATTACTCTAATTGGACCCCTCTATCAGATTGTAAACTCCTACCCTATAAAATCAAACAAAAAAAATTAAAATACACCCATAGAAAATAGAACAAAACTTGAAGACTTAGCCAAAATTTCTAAATACAGTCAAATCAAACTCTTTTAAACACTTAACCACATCCAACACATACCAAAATTAAACTCTGCCACTCATTCATGTCACTCTCCAAGCTAACAAATACTCTGAAAACATCAAATAACCCCACCATCAAATTAAGCAAAAGAACTCCAACATCTGAGAATCTTTTTAGGCACACTTAAAGCTGACTTGGAAAGGCAGTATAGAGGCTCAAAAGAGACCAAGAAAAGGAGGAAGAAGAGGATATCAACACCTAAGACAAAATCAAGTAAGGGAGGGGTGTAATACCTTAAATTTTCCTTTAAAAAGTAAACAATTTTTTTATGGCTGATAAAAATAAATTCATTTCTATTCCTAGAGTTAATAATAGAATAGAGACAAAATTTTATATTTCCTTCTTGGAAAAATTTCATAAGACTTCAAAAGAAGTCAAGCTTCCAAAGGTAAAATTTTGAAACTTGAAAATAGTCAATTAAAACTCAGCTTTACTTCTAATAAATCATTCAGTTCATTTTGAATACATATAAATTTTGAATTTCCACCAAGGAAATTTCCAAAATATTCTTTACAACCGAAAATCTGCTCGAGGATTTACATTCCGAGATATAACATTAAAGTCATTTACAAATTTTGATCGATCCAAAATATAATTTGATAAAACAATACAATTTCTCGAACTATTTTAATCCTTTCAGAGCAGTCTTCCTTCCAACACCCTCGGA